CGGCATGTGGGATCTTCCCGGACCGGGGCACGAACCCGTGTCCCCTGCTTCGGCAGGCGGACTCTCAACCACTGCGCCACCAGGGAAGCCCTCATGGCCAGCTTTTCTGGTATGTAAAACAAAAAGAACAGCGAGGTTTTAAATGAAAATTAGGGCGAAAACAAGATTGAATGGTGTTATGTAATTCTAGATACACCACTGGGCTGACGTGAGTAAACGATCACCTTCTTACAGAACAATTGGAGAAAGAGACATGAAAAGAACTGAAATACTTGTGTTGATGTATTTTCATACACTGGCACGCTACCAGGTAATCTAAGCTTGGTAAAGTAACCTTATATAATATATGTCCTTGAGAATGGAAACCGCACAAGCTCGTGATGGCGTGGTGATACACAGAAATGGGTATGTTGTATATTGTGACTCAAGGCTGATTCTCATGCCTTACCCTTTTCACAGAGTACAGGGAGGCGGTTCTTACATAGGGAGTCATTCTATTTTGCCTGAGTGCTAGGAGAAACTCCCGTATTTTTGCATGAAGCATTTATTAAATAAGATTGGTTTAGTTGTCTCCTATAATTTTGTTTGGGCTTGTTTTTTCCAATAGGTTGTAGAAATTTAGAAAATCTAATATAGCCAAGAATGAAACAGGAGACCTAGAGTTTCCTCATCTGTTCTTCCCAGGTGAGGAAAATTACACATAAATCAATTTTACCGGTATTGGCCAGCTGATGCATGTCAAAGAATCAGGGTTACAAGAGAATATTGTCCAGCGAGGGAAGGTACTGATTCACAGAATCTTTGGGTACTTCACCGAGAACCTAGATCATCTTCATCCATTTCATTGCAAGCCCTCCATGATCGACTATAGCCCACATTTTCCAGAACGAGGCACCACCTTTACTGACACCTGCAATGGGAAGTAAAAGACCAGGAATGTTGCCGGAGGACTTTGTCATGGATGAAACTATTACAGGCAGTGGTCTAATGCTTCCAGTCTGGAGAGGCCTCCAAGCTGGGCCTTTTAGGGGCTTCCCTGGCGGTCCAGTGGTCAAGACTCCACACTTCCACTGCAGGGGGCACGGGTTCAATCCCTGGTTGGAGAACTAAGATCCCACATGCCGTGTGGTGCAGCCAAAAGAAAAAAATCAAGCTGGGCCTTTTATTAAATACTGCCTTAGAGTAAATAATCTTTCTTAACTGGTCATATTTTAGATTTGGGCTTTATCTCCCATAAACCTCAGAATGCAGAGGAAATGAAACGTTCCAGGGGCTGGTACTTCCCACCAAGAGCATAGAATGTATTAGTACTTCTTTTCATGAGCTTCAAATAACTTGCTTCGTCCCCATGGGATCTGAAAGGTTTGTTCTATCTTTCCAATCCTGCCTTCCAACATAATGTAGCAAAAACTGGGATTTAGGAGTAGAAACGTTTTGGACCTGAATCCTGTTTGTTAAACAACACTGAGGAATGTAGGTCCAGAACTATTAGGTGTTTCTGGTTTGAAGGAAGTTTCTTTAGTTCATTTAACATTGCCATGAATGTCAGTGCATGCAGTCGCCAAATCACAGTTAGCTTAGAATCTACAAACTCAGTTCTCTGTAACAGGAACACGGAGAGCTAGAAGGTTTAAAATAGATGTCATATGATACCGATTATAACTCAGTGAAATTTTGCAGTCCCAAGAACCTATACAGAGTGTGAACCAAAATGGAGGACGGTCCTGTTTCCTTTGGCTTTAAAAACATTTTTATTACAATGTTTGCTACTTTTTTTTTCTTCAAGCTTTTAATTAAAGTGTTCTTGGCGCTCCTAACCCATTTCTATATCGTCAAAGGAAATAGAAAAGAAGCGGCTAGGATAGCAGAAGAGATCTATGGTGAAATTTCAGGTAAAAATACATGAATTTGTTCCCAATACTTTAAAAGAAACCTCCTAGATAATTCATATGAATAATATTTCTAGAAGGCAGATTTTATTTAAACTTTGGCTTTGAGTGGGTGGTTTTAAAAAATTATTATTTAAAGTAGCAAATGGTGTTGACTGCACCAATTTGTGAAGGATTTTCAGCTTTCTTTTCTGCAAATTAGTAGTTTCATTAGCAGTTATTATTTAAGAAGTGAATAGACTAGTGGCTTTCTCAGAGTATTTTGGGAAAACTCATTTCTGCTAACAAAAGAATTACTTTATAGGATTATCTTCTTGAATATTTGTAATCAAATGTTAGCAGTGCATTCTAACAAAACTGTTTTCCCCAGGAAATAGAATGACCAATAAATTTGATTTAAAGCAGCAATATATATGCTATATATATATGTATTTGTGTGTGTGTGTGTGTGTGTGTGTGTGTGTGTGTGTGCGCTGTCATTTGCAATTCGAATTGCTTAGCCACTTGTCACTGTCAGGAAAAAACCCTTCACTGAATCCATTTATGCCCAGCACCATGCAAAGCACAGCAAACAAAGGTTATTGTAATATGAAACGCCAACCTTTGGTCCAAACGTTTTAAAGTCTCCTGCTTTGTAGAATTCAGTCTCCATTTCTTTCAAGAAATGATTCACGTTAATTGTAGGGAGAGGCTACGAAAGTAAATGAGTCAGATATCTTGGTTACTGCTGGGACTGCCACTGGATAGAGGAGTATTTATTCATAAACAGAGTTCCAAATTTCCCTGTGTATTTTTAGTGTTCGCAGGGGTTCCAGGGTTACCTCATTCTTTATCTAGTATCCATTTCACCTTGCACCCTGGATTCTCTTTCAAAATAGACTTACGTTATGTGATTCCAATACACCAGACAACTTTAAGGACACTAGGGAACAGCAGTCTTATCCGAAGAGTTAAGACCTCCAAAGACAGAGCATCAGAATGCTTCAATTAACAGGGGAAAATGAGAAGAATCTCGAAGTTTCGGGAAGTGGCAGAAGGCTCGGAGTGTGGAAAGAGGTTTCTTTTGGGGATTACATTTGTCACACGTTTCAGGGAGGTATGTCGCTTTGACTTGGTTTTAAAAAAAAACTTAACCTTAATTTCAAGTTAAGCATAATCTGAAAAGCTGTTTTCTAATTTAATTTGTAAATAGGGGCAGGGGCTTTCTAGACGTTTCCATCACAGTTTTAACGTTCTCATAGATACATCATCCTCATGGCTTAAATTAGTAAAGTCCGACAGTCAGCATCAGCAAGAGTGTGTTCAAAACGTTTTCTCCTGGTGCTCGTGTGCATTATTTCTGCCCTTGGGGTCCTTAACGAAGTACTCTTAAGCAAGTTTTATAAGAGTCAAAACCTGGAGCCATAATACAATTCTCATAAACAGAGCGCCCTCATTTTTTAGCTCAAGTATCTTGTTGAAGCTCCCAGGATAATCATTTAATTTGCAAATGGCATGGTGTTCTATTGCAAATGGCATGGTGTTCTAAAGTCAAAAATGTGTTTTTCAATGATCACTAACAAGAAGCAGTGGGGTGAATAGTGCCTGTTAATTTCTCAGTTTAATTTCCTTCCTATATACATGTGTATGTGTGTGAGGATGGCTGCATATACGTCTACACACCACTGACACACCCACACACGTATATAGTAGAGAGTATATCCAGATTCGGTAAATAAGGCTTTCTGTAATTAGGCAATAATACGCCAGAAACAGTGGTTTTTACATGATTCCCACAGCGATTTTTCTTTGGACACTGTTAACAGATACTATATATATATATATTTAAAGCTAGACATTTTAAAAACCAAGAACAAAATTTTGTCTAAGTGTTCAACTCAAACCAGAAATTATCTTTGCTGCTTGTTGGTCAGACAAATGTTTGTTGGGAAAATATGTGACATTTAATCAGTAAGTCAGCTAATCGACTTACTAAAATCTCAGAACTTTCTTGAGTCCAGTAGCATGTTCTGTTCCTGTAACTATTGTCAGTGTTGTAAAAAACAAGGGGAGATAGTAAAAAAACTCAGCCAGGGCAGAGTTTAGCCTGTCATAGGTCCTGGCACTTTTCTTTTAGAAGCTGCACCTAGCATCACATCCCTCATTAAATATCTTTTTTTTTTTTTGGCTGTAAAATTTTTTGGAAAGTTATTTTTCATATTCTGGAGTACATCATTCGATACTTTCTTTGTGGTTTAAACTATTACTTTTGTAAATAACTCATCAGAATTGAGTTCAGCTATGTTTGGTTGGCTGTACTTAGTTTTTTCCGGCTTCTTTGTGTAATTTGTCAATAATATATATATATTTTTAAGTTTGAAACATTGTTATTGGCCCTTGATATTCTTATATCTAGAGCACCAGATGCATCACTGGCCCCCGCCTTCAGGCCATAGATGTTTCTGCAGGCACTCTCTCTCCCGAGAGCCGTGGGGTATGATTTTTCAACCTTTGCTAATTTGGCCAGAACTGAAGCTATATTTAGTACAGTGACTTGGTCATCACACTTGATAAAAATAAAGTGTAGATGCAGGTTGATAATCTCTTATTGACAACCCTTGGGCCAGATGTTTTAGGATTCCGGAGTCTGGAGGATACTAGAATCATTATGCAGCGTGTATACCGTATATGATGTGGCACTCCCAGCAGGACCTGGAGCTTCCTCCTGTAATCAAACGTTTTGATATTTCTATAGTGAAAAATATCAATATTCACACTAAGTGAAAATACAAATTAAAAATAATAGTTTGCTAAACCTGAGTCCTGACCATGTTTTGCTGCCAAAGGAGCTTGTTTCCAACTTGGTTTTCAGAACTGGGGGAAATTTACAATTGCAGGTAAGAGATTGTGGAGTTACTGTACCCTTTCAAAAAATGAGTTCTTTGCTTCCCTGGTGGCGCAGTGGTTGAGAGTCCGCCTGCCAATGCAGGGAACACGGGTTCGTGCCCCGGTCCGGGAAGATCCCACATGCCGCGGAGCGGCTGGGCCCGTGAGCCGTGGCCGCTGAGCCTGCGCGTCCGGAGCCTGTGCTCCGCAACGGGAGAGGCCACAACAGTGAGGGGCCCGCGTACCAAAAAAAAAAAAAATATGAGTTCTATTCTAAGTGTTTTGCCTAAAATCAGTTGTCCTTGTTTTTCTAAATTCAAAGGCCTGACCTTGATTTGATGGCCACGCCTCTGCCTGACTCACCATCCTGACTCCTTTTCTCTATCCTTCCCATGTCAACAGTTTTTTTCCCTCCTTTGGTCCATTCCTGCCCGGTCCTCCACCTCGCCTTGTTCAGTGTTGGTGCTTGTCTCCTCAAGCCTTGGTCCCCCCATCCTCTGAGTGGTTATATATCACAGGTGCCTGCTGGCTTTCCCAAGTTGGGACACACAGCACTCAGCAGGGGCTCTGCCACCCGACCTGTCATCTTCAGCTCAGCTCTCCTGCTCCTAATGGGTTCAAAGGAAGCTTCTTTCTAACACATTACAAAGAGATGTTCATTGACTGTAGTTCATCTCCTGGCCAGAGCTGAGTGTTGTAGAGGGTATGCGTTTTAACTCAATTGTATTAGAATACTTTTGATACCTTGGGAGATTTCTTGTAATATGTTTTTTTCCAGTTACCTTTATTTTACTTAAGATATCATTAACTCTGTTAGGCTCTTGCCTATATTTTGGTTCAAATTTGAATTTTCTATATTTTTTTGATAAGTGCTACAGGAGAAGATATTCCTTCATATGATTTTGGAACTTGAATAAAGCGAATAAAGATTGTTTCATGGGCACTGGAGATAATAACCAGTCAGGCAGTTAAAAAAATAAATAAATAAACCAGTCGTCTCAAATACTTGTTGGAATTAGGCAGGGTAAAAATTGCAAAAAAAAATTCAAAATAATAATTGATTTTTATCTTGAATTCTTGGAGCTCAGACACCCATATTCCATCTGAACCCATTTTGTTATTGAAATCTATGGTTTTAGACATTGTCATGAATTTGTTATTCAGAGAGCCTGAGAACTAGAGATATAAATCACATTCTGAGAAAAAGTCAAAGGGGGGAATGAAAATGTACTTGAACATTTTCCATACACCTCATCAGGAACAAGTAAACATATTTGTACAGTAAACGATCTTCAAAATGTGCCTGCAGCCGTGTGACACAGGCAGCGTGCCAAATAACTCAAAATAGACTGCCTTAGAAGCGAAGGATTGATTGCTACTTCAGCATTCATTTATTTGGAGATCTTAGATACATATTTCCTGAAAGGAATGGAAAAACTCCCTAGCCGCCAAATAACTTTTATCCTCAGTTTCTCGCAATTAGCTCCAATTTGCAAAACAAGAATGATAAGAGCAAGAGGCTGTGTGTTGGGAATCAGAATAGAAAAACAGAAGAGCCCACCGTGGCAGCGTTTCTGGAAAAGCGTTTTGTGTGAAAACCCTTCAAGGTCCTTTGAAGCAAGTGCTGGGAAACAGAGTGACCGGAAAGGTGACTTCCAGGAGAGTGGCTTTATTTCCAGTTGGGAAACCGAAATGACTTCCACATTTAAGGCGATCCAATTGATTTATTTCATGTTATTTACAGAGATAAGGGGGATGTAGGAAGGCACCTCCCCAACAAGTCAATCTACCAGGAGGATGGGCAGGATAGAAAAACCAGTAGTTCTTAAAACCAGAACGGGGTGCGTTCTCAAAGTGACTCCTCAAATAGGGAGAAAGAGAGCGGGAAAGCAGTGGCGAGGAAATAGAAGCCCAGGACCACCCACCCTTCCCTCTTCCTCCCTGGATCAGAAGATGGCCTGCACACTTGCGTCCACCTCGGAAGCCTGGGGTGGGAGTTGGGGGTATCGGATGATGCTGCACTGACGGGGGACACTAGGAGAGGTGGCCAAGTGCCAGTGCGTAGGAAAGGCACTGGGTGTGAGACATGCAGTTGAGGCCCAGTGCACAGGACTGGTCCCCTCCTCCAGGCCGCTAGGGAGACATCTCCCCATCCCTCTCGCTTCTCCCCACCCCCACGGCGCCAGAGGGGCTGTTGGCACCTCAAGAAGGAACTGAGAACATGCTGCCCTTCCTCGGGCGGAGAGGGGGCCATCCCCTGCCCTGAGAGTGGGCAGAGGAATGGAGATGACAGTTTTAAAGCGGACTGACCAGTAGCCTGGTGGCCTTGAAATCTCTTTCTTGAAGTATGCCATAAATACAGATAAGTGCACAAACCCCAAAGCGGACAGCTGGGTGAGTTTTCACCATGGAGTGCCAGCTCCCAAGAACAAGAAACTGCCCGTTATCAGCATGACCCTCACCCCACCCACCTCCAGTCAGTCCCTGCCCCTTCTCATGGTACTTTCGACTCCGAACGCCCGAAGTGAGTTGGGCCCTTTTGTACTTTATGGAAATGGAGTCATCTGGCACATCCTCTTCTGTGCAGGGCCGCCTTCATCAGCGTGATGTTTGAGAGATCTGTCCAGGCCGTGTGTACGGATGGCGTGGGTCTTAGGGGGCTGAGGGGTAACAGAAAGTTACTAGAAACAGGATGAAATCGTGGTTAAGGTGCCTGCTTCCCAGCAGGAAAGGGGACACCGCGGCCCGCTTGGAGGCAAGTTTTAGAAATAATAAAGCCATTTCATGTTGCTGTTCTAAGTTAATAATAGCAAGTTGCCATTTAAATCCTGGTGTGAAGCAAATACTTAGAGTACCTTCAGGTGACTCAGTTGGCTGGCTATTGTTAGAACAAAAGAATAACAAAGCCACAGCTGTGGGTTTGCTTCTTAGGTTGGTCAGGGCGCTGAGCTGCCATCCATGGGGGAAGACCGTCCTTCCAAACTCGGTGCTTGTCCCTCTCCAAGCCTGATGAGGCGAGAGGGCGACGCGTCTGGCGCACACTTCATATTGAATGGGATGGAGATGTGGTCGAAGAAAACCAAGGCTGACTACTGAGGATTCTGTGCGTACGTTATCTCATTATTCCCAACTTATGCAAATGATCAATGTCCAAAGAGGTTGAACAATCCTCCACTCATCAGCTTTTAACTGACTCAGGAACAAGTGGACATACAAACGCAATATATTTTCAGGTTAAAATTGTTGTCTGTTTTTCTTACTAGAAAAAGTATTCTACATATCAGAAGTATACAATTCACCAGTGATTAGATAGATAGATTGATTGATAGATTAATAGATGGACAGATATAGTTAGATATAGATAGATACACACTTTTTATTTTGGAACTAAAGTGGTACAAAGAATTCCCACTTCTCTTTGCCCAGACTCCATTCATGTTTATCCAACTGTCCAGTTAACATCCTTGATAGCAAAAGGATCCAATCCGGGCACATGTTGCCTTTAGATGTTGTGTCTCATCAGCCTCCTTCAATCTGGTTACAGACCAATTAGTTTTGAGAACATCCCTCAGTTTGAGTTGGTTTGAGGTGTCCTCGCGATTAGATTCAGACTATGCATTTTGAGCAGGAATATTCCCAGCAACGCTGTGTTCTTTTCACTGCGTTCCCTCCAGTAGTATGTGATGTGGCTCATTGTGTTCCAACAGATGGCACACTGTGTCAATTGGTTCCATCGCTTCTGAGGTTAATTTTGATCCCCGGGGTAAGGTGGTGCCTACCATTTCGTTCCACTGTACAATTACGCCTGTTCCCTTGATAACTATGTAATTATTTTGTGGGGAGATAATCTGAGGCCGATTCTATTACTTCTCCTACGTGTCTGAAGTTGGTGTTCTACTATGAGGAAGAGCTTTCTCTTCTCCCTGTTTATATATTCATTTGTATCAGTGAGGCCTTATAGATTCCTGTTTTATTTGCTAGGGTATAATCATGATTTATTTTCATGCTCAAATCGTCCCGTATTTGGCCAGTGGAAGCCCCTTCAAGGCAGCTTCTGTACTTTTTGACATTTCCCATCGTTCATTGAGCACTTCCTTACTTTCTGGCAAGATGTTTGCGGCCCATCTTACATTTGTCCTGGCATTTCAGCCTTGGAGTCAGCCATTTCTCCAAGCAGCCTTGGTTTAGGTTTTCTCAGTATACAGTGCTATTCTGTCTATCTAGATATATCTATATATCTGTCTATAGGTAGAGATATATAGATATATCTGTAGAGAGAGAACCAGATGGGTCACCAGATCCCACCTTCAGCCCATAGATATTTCTGTAGGCACCATCTTTCCATATACACACATGTATTGAAAATCACATTTTCATACCAGTTGCTCTAATTGTTCCAATTTCAATCCAACCCTGTAGAATTCATTCTAGCTTTCTCCCTTTTCAAAACCCAGAGGGTTAGAGAAGATAAAAAATGAGTTTCAATGTAAGAAGAGCTTTTATGGAAATGTTTAGAGCCCTGGTTCTCATCCACTGGAAAATTTCAGTCTCTCCATGAGGACACACTACTTCAAGTTCACATAATTGCATATTTGTTGGGATTGTTTTTGTCAAGGTTGTAGGTATGGGAAAACCTGAATTCTTAGCACCATCCAAATCACCTAGAAAAAGGTGATAAGATGGGCCTTTTGTGTTAAACACAAACTGTATGACGTGCTCGTCAATGTATGAAGAGCACAGTTATACTTTGAAGAATGCCCCAATTTTGCAAACCATTGTAGGTTTTCTTCCAAAACAAATGATTGCCCTTTGGCATGTTTAATAGAAGCTTACTTCTCAAATGCACACTTAAGCTTGTTAGTCTTGTTTCCTGACAAGCAATTAACAAGAAATATACATTTGTAAGGCAGTTCTAAGGCTGTTCCTTAGAGCGCTACCCTACCACGGTGTACTTATTAATCATAACTTTTCTTGAGCACCTAACATCATGGGTATACTTTATTGGCCTACTTAGAGACCAAAGAACCTGCTAAATACTAGATCACTATTCCCCCACTTTACAGATCAAGAAATTGAGGTTCAAATGATTTTAGTAACTTGCCCATTTTGGCAGAGATAGTGGTTGAGGCAGGACTGGCCCAGTGCTTAGCCATCACATTCTAACTGCCCACCAAAAACTCTTGGAGGATTATGTCATCTGATAAACAACATTCTGCATTATGATAACAGACTGGCTTCATTACCAAAATCAAAGAATTATCTAGGGAATTTCGAACAAAACCATTTTCCCTGACCCCTTAGGGTCTCCTTCCTGGCATACAGGATGTCTTAGGGTAGGGGTGAAGGGGGAGAGGCAGGGGAAAGAAGAAAGTGGGGAAGTTCATGGACCAGCTTTGCCCTTCATTTTGCCTATTCAGAGTTATTGGATTCAATCACTGGGCAGTATTTATTTGTTTATTTTTTATTTTTTTGCGGTACGCGGGCCTCTTACTGCCGTGGCCTCTCCGCTGCGGAGCACAGGCTCCGGACGCGCAGGCTCAGCGGCCATGGCTCACGGGCCCAGCCGCTCTGCGGCATGTGGGATCTTCCCGGACCGGGGCACGAGCTCGTGTCCCCTGCATCGGCAGGTGGACTCTCAACCACTGTGCCACCGGGGAAGCCCCGGCAGTATTTATTTGAATGAAATGTATTCCTTATGAAAACTGCCCCCTAAAGCCAGAGAGATGGTCTGTGCTCCCTCTCCACGCCCATGGACTGTACCCTCAGTGGCTGGTCACCCTGCGAGTGGCAGACCGGAGAACCTGATGCGTGGTGCCAGCTCCCCTCCCCTTCCGCCAGACCTCCTCTCACAGTGGGTGGGCACATGAACAAGCTGGAGGAAGAAGACTCCTGACCTTGACTCTGAGCTTGATGTGTGTTTCAGATTGCTGGGCCGATCGGTCTCCACTTCATGAAGCGGCAGCTCAGGGGCGCCTACTGGCCCTGAAAACGTTAATTGCACAGGTGAGTAAACCAAAGACTTGATCCTTGGTGCCTGTGCTATAATCAAGCATCATTCTTGATCAGCTTTGACTGCAGCAGGGGTCTGGCTGGCCCCATCTGGTTCCCAGCACAGCCACTCTACATGGATGCATCCTCTCCCAGGTATTTGTTCCTCCTGCCTCTCCCTCCTTGGGGAGCTGGCTGGTTTTCTGCCCAATTCCAACCTTCCCCTTCTAGGTTTCCCTTTGCTTCATAAAAAGTTTCCCTATGAGGCTGATGGGGGATGCCCTCAAACCTGTGTTGCACTAACTCACCTTGCTCTCTCCCAGTGTGCCTTAGTAACAGCAGCCCTGAAGTTGCATAAGCCAGCTATTGCTCTGTAACAAATTACCTTGAAACACAGTGGCTGAAGACAACAAACACTGAGTCTCATGGTTTCTGTAGTCCAAGGAGCAGCTTAGCTGGGTGGTTCTGGCTCCGAGCCTCTTGCAGGCTTCAAAGTATCAGCCAGGGCTGCAGTCATCTTACAGCTTGAGCAGGGGAAGGATCTGCTTCTAATCTCACTCATGAGGTTGTTGGCCATTTTCAATGCCTTGATGCCTGGGCCTCTCCATAGGGCTGTGTCACAAGATGGTAGCTGGCTTCCTCCACAGACAGCATGAGAAAGGGTCTAAGAAGGAAGTCTCAGTACATAACCTGTCTCCAAAGTGACATCTGATTGCTTCTGCCGTATTTTATTAATTAGATGGGAGTCAGTAAATCCCGCCCATGCCCAAGGGGAGGGGATTACACCAGTGAGCCAATACCACGAGTCAGGATCCATCTTGATCCCTGGGAACCATCTTAGAGGCTGCCTACCCTGATGATCCACTGTTTCAAAAGCAAACATTGAAATAGGTTGACAAATGGGTAAATCTTACTCCTTTGGAAAGATTTCTTCAAGTCTTAGTTATTAAAGCTAATTTATTTTTACTTATGACTGTATCCCTAGCACCATGAATAATGACTAGAGGCCTAGTAAATATTTGTGAGATGAATGAAAGTGTACACAGTGCATTTACTTTGTTTTAGAGTCTGTGTGTGTACAGAGGAGGTAAGTCATTAGATCTTTTTTCCACAGCCTAGCTACTACCAAACCTGGCTTCCTTATTTTAAATTTAAACAGCTGGACACACTGCTCTTTTTCTCTCTGTGTGTGTATGTGTGTGCCTTTTCTTGCTTTCTCCTTTATGAGTTGTGTTACTTCTTAAAAAAGTGGAGGCAAAAGGAAAACAGTACTGCCAGTAATAATCAAATGGACTTTGCACTTGATTTTATCACTTGCTTATTTATTTGTAAGCACTTAAAATTTTACTTGGTTTGATTTTTGTCCTTCCAGTTTTATTGAGATGTAATTGGCCTACGGCACTGTATAAGTTTAAGGTGTACAGCATAATGATTTGACTTACATACATCATGGAAGGATTATCACAATATAGTGGCCATCCATTGTCTCCTATAGATTTAACAGTAAAGAAATAGAAAAAAGGTTTTTCCTTGTGATTAGAACTTTCAGGATTTACTCTCTTAACTTTCATAATATAACATACAGCCGTGTTAATTGTATCTATCATGCTGTATCATGCTGTGTTACATCCCTAGTATCTTCTACTGGAATTTTTTACCTTTTGACTCCCTCCATCCAATTCCTTCTCCCCACTGCCCCCCCCACCCCCGACCTCTGGTAACCACAAATCTGATCTCTTTTTCTATGAGTTTGCTTTTCAAGTATAATTGACCTACAACACTGTGTTAGTTCCTGTTATACAACATAGTGATTCGATATTTCTATACATTTCCAAATAATCACCATGATAGGTCTAGTTACTATCTGTCACCAAAGAGATTACATAGTTATTGACTATATTCCCCACACTGTATATTTCATGCCCGTGACTCATTTGTTTTGCAACCGAAAGTTTGTACCTCTTAATCTCCCTCATCTATTTCCCTCCTCCTCCGACCTCCTCCTCCTCTGTCTTGAAGCACTTAGACTGTTATTTGATTTGAGTATTTTTAATATGTGACATATTCACATAGTTTCCAAATTAAAATGATAGAAAAAGGTACACAGTGAAAAGTCTTGCTTTCAGCTCCTTCTTCTTGGCCCCCAACCTCAATACTTTTATTAGTATTTTAAATTTTAAATTTTAGAATACTTTTAAAGAAGAGTTGCAAAGATAATACACAGAGTTCCAGCATACCCTTCACCCGACTTCCCCTTGTGTTAATATCATACATAACCATGGTACTTTAGCCAAAAATAAGAAATTAACATTGGTACAACACCATTAACTAAACTACAGACTACTGAGACGACACCAATCTTCCCACTAGGGTCCTTTTTCTCTTCCAGGATCCAGTCCAGGATATCACATTGCTTTTAGCACTTCTTTATTTTTAACTGTATTTTGTAAGCATGTTGGTTTCTATAGTGTCCTTCAACGTGTAAAGAGCATTCTTCATGGAGAATTCTTCAGCCTTTTCTTAGTACCTCCCCACTTTTTTACCCTTACACACTGGTAAAAAATGGATTATTCTCCTTTATTTTCTACTCTATTTTACGTGTAGACAGTGTGGTGTGCTGTGAGCAAAACATTAAACCAAGGGTCAGGAGCTTCTGCCGATCACACTGGCTGTCACCGACAGCAGGGGAACCTCAAATCTTAATAATTTGAACTCTCTGCTCCCCCATGTTCTCACCCGCAATGACAGTGAGTCACTCTAGCTGATCTTTCAGGCCTGTCCCGCATTACATTTGTACAGTTCCAGGGATTCTTGAGAGTTTGCATCGGATCAATGTTTTTCTTTAGCACACGGCTGCCACCTTGTGGACTTTTTTCTTTTTGGCCACGCCGCGGGGCTTGCAGGATCTTAGTTCCCGGACCAGGGATTGAACCCCGGGCCCTCGGCAGTGAAAGCGCCAAGTCCGAACCACTGGACCGCCAGGGAATTCCTTGTGGACTATTTTTTAAAATGCTCTTATTTTTTCTTTATTTTCTTAAAATGAAAGTATAAATGGGAAGAGGAAAAGAAACCTTGTATTAGATATCCAATTGTAAATATACAGCACGGCTCTGGAGTAATGACGTCATATTCAGGACATAAACATGGACAGGACCAAGGAGGCACAAACAGGCCCTAAGATGACGATGGGACTGGCAATAGTGGGCAGTCCCAGCTGCCGGCCACAGGAGGGATGCAGCCAGCACCATGGAGGTCTGGTGGGAGGGGTTGGGAACTTAGGTTGGGGTTTGGGGTCCAGGGTCTTGCACTAGGTTTTGGAGCGTTTCAGCAGGTAGTTACGAGGCAGAGAATCAAAAGCAGAACTCGGCTGGGTCCTGGCAGAACCTAAATCCTTTCACAGATAGAAAGTGGTGATCATGGGGGCAAGCGGTAAGGGCAAAGTAGAGTCAGGGCATGAAGTTGGCCGGCAGCTAGGCTGAGCCTGGCATCTGTCAAATGGACTCCAAGGCGAGGAAGGTGGAGCGCGGCACGATGGGGAGGGCAAGTGTGCTAGGACTGGGCGGAGACGCTCGGATGTGGGGAAGGAGAGGAGCGTTAGGGGAAGCCCCCGGCTCCAGACTCTGCTCCTGCGGAGAGCTCGGCAGGCAGTGGAGGTCTGGCAGTCAGCATCACGGCTACTCAGGCACAGGAACCCCAGGAGCATCATCTATTTTACTTTCTAGTCTTTTTTTTTTTTTTGCGGTACGCGGGCCTCTCACTGTTGTGGCCTCTCCCGCCGCGGAGCACAGGCTCCGGACGCGCAGGCTCACCGGCCATGGCTCACGGGCCCAGCCGCTCCGCGGCACGTGGGATCTTCCCGGACCGGGGCACGAACCCGCGTCCCCTGCATCGACAGGCGGACTCCCAGGTTACTGCGCCACCAGGGAAGCCCTTTACTTTCTACTCTTGAGCCTGGGCGTCATCCTTCTGTGCCACATCCACTTCTAACACCCCCAACCCTGGACTCTGTCACCCGCTCCCCGTACCCACTGCTGTTCACACCTACATCAGCCAGTGCCTGACTCATCGCCATGTCTTCATGACGCTCCTTTCTCCAGGGTCACATCCCTACCTCTCCGAGCAGCCCTCCTTGGTGCTACCAGTGTGCTTTTCCGAAAACGTCCTATGTATTAGCTCCAGACCTTCTACGGACTAACAGACTTGAAAGGCGCCTCATTCTCTATAACACATGCACCCCACCTCCACCCCCGTTCGGAAACCAAGGCCTTTCACGATCTGTCTCTAGCCTACCGTCCCCTTTCATCTTCCCCCTCCCCCCACTTCCCCTTTTTTCTTCCTCCTCTGTCACGTGTGGGCTCTTTCTGATCCAGAGATTTGGCAACTATCCACCTCCGTGCCCTGCCTCGCCCTTCTCTGCGTCCCACATTTGCATATCCTGTTCCCTCCTAAGGGAATGCCTTTTTTTTTTGCCTTCCTAGTTTTTTTTTAACATCTGTATTGGAGTATAATTGCTTTACAATGGTGTGTTAGTTTCTGCTTCATAACAAAGTGAATCAGCTATACATATACATATATCCCTATATCTCCTCCCTCTTGCGTCTCCCTCCCACCCTCCCTATCCCACCCCTCTAGGTGGTCACAAAGCACCGAGCTGATCTCCCTGTGCTATGCGGCCTAGTTTGAAATTTTTTATGCTTCAAGCCGTAGCTAAATACTAGCTCATTTGCAAAGTTTTCTCTTACTCCCCAAGGCAGATTCAAGGATACCCTATGTCCCCAATTAAAATGTGAACATGCTTCCAGTATGGCAGTATTCTGGCTGGGTTCCTCCCCACCGTACCCCACCCCACTTCCCGCCACCATTTCTGTCTCCCCACTAAGCTCTTAGAGGAGAGAGACCCATGTCATAAGCTTTGAAGCCCCAGGTGCTGGCACATGGCCTGGTCCAGGATACTGAATGAGCTTTTGCTGAATCAGTGAAGCCGAGGCTCCCAGCTGTGTTTGGATTCCCCTAGTCATGGCCTCTACTCCTCTCTAGGTGGTGCCCGCAGGCTACGAACACTTCACAAACACGTCCGACAACCTTGCCGTTTATTCTTATTGCTGATGCAGCCTTTAATCTACTTCTCTCCAAATTGTAGGGCGTCAACGTGAACCTGGTAACAATTAACCGGGTCTCTTCTCTCCATGAGGCGTGCCTGGGAGGCCACGTGGCCTGCGCTAAGGCCCTATTGGAGAACGGCGCCCACGTGAGTACCATCTCCGCCCGCGGGTCTGGCTGCCCAGGTGCAACCGCTAACATGTAAAGACCCATCACCTTCCAGAACACTTACCCGCGGTGGGGTGCGCAGGCCTGGCCCCATCGGCGCCCATATTCTTGGATGGTCGGGAAGACACTGCTGGTTACCCCTCTCTTCAGCCTCTATGTCCCTGTGCCAACGTTCAGATAAGGTAATTTACGGGGTTCGTTCAGAACTGTGATGCTAACTTGAAAAAAAACAGCTTGAGCTAAAGTAATTTGAACACTGATTTTGGAAAATTTATTTTAAAACATTTAGAAGAACACATTTAAAAAGAACAACAGGGGGGGCTTCCCTGGTGGCGCAGTGGTTGAGAGTCCGCCTGCTGATGCAGGGGACGCGGGTTCGTGCCCCGGTCTGGGAGGATCCCACATGCCGCGGAGCGGCTGGGCCCGTGGGCCATGGCCGCTGGGCCTGCGCGTCCGGAGCCTGTGCTCCGCAGCGGGAGAGGCCACAGCAGTGAGAGGCCCACGTACCGCAAAAAAAAAAAAAAAAAAAGAACAACAGGGGACTTCCCTGGTGGACCAGTGGTTAAGACTCGGCGCTTCCACTGAAGGGGGCATGGGTTCCATCCCTGGGCGGGGAAGATCCTGCGTGCCGTGCAACGCGGCCAAAAAAATTTAATTAAATTTTAAAAACTATGAAAAAAAATAAAAAGAACAGCAATCAAAAACCACTCTTAATTCAACACGCTACACCCACAACGATTTTTGTTGAGCAAAATTATCAAACTAAATGAGCTTGTAATAAATAATACATTGGAAAAACACTACGCAATGAACTTTATCTTATTTTTAAATTCTCTCCTTTTCAAGGAGTGACTGAGCTGCTGTATGTCGTACAGATATCAGCATAGAATTCTGAAATTAATACTTTTGAAAATCTCAAGGACTTTTATTTAGTCACCAGATATTGTTGTGATGTTACTTTCGTTTTTTAAAAATTTTTTTAAGGGAATTCCTTTATTTTTATTATTTATTTATTTTTGGCTGTGTTGGGTCTTCGTTTCTGTGCAAGGGCTTTCTCTAGTTGCGGCAAGCGGGGGCCACTCTACATCGCGGTGCGCGGGCCTCTCACTATCGCGGCCTCTCCTGTTGCGGAGCAACAGGCTCCGGACGCGCAGGCTCAGCGGCCATGGCTCACGGGCCCAGCCGCTCCGCGGCATGTGGGATCTTCCGGACCGGGGCACGAACCCGTGTCCCCTGCATCGGCAGGCGGACTCTCAACCACTGCGCCACCAGGGAAGCCCCTGCAAATGTCTCTTGAATGCTTACTGGGCACCAGGCAACGTTCTAGGTGTTTACCATATAGTAACTCACCTCATCCGCCCAATAACCTCCTGAGGTCGATTCTTTTATGATCCTCATTTTACAGATAAGGAAACCCAGGCACAGAAAGTTAGTATCCCAACCAGATCTCTGAGCACATAAAGGAGAGAGAGCTGGGATTTGAACGCAAGCTAATTGTTCCAGAGACCATGTTCTGATCCACCATACAGGACCACTCCTCACAACTAGGAGGCTCCTAGGAAGCTCTAGAATACCCCTGAGTACGTCTTAAAAACTGTCCCATTTGGCCTCATTTCTGCTACTATTGATATTTATAGGTGAGAGTTGATAGGCTACTGGTACCTAAAAGAACCCCACAATACTGTAAGGGTGCGGGGTTCCCTCGTTCATTCACTGGCGTGGGAAGTTTCTCCAGGCAGATACATAGGAATGCACACTTGGAGATGGTGAGAAACAAATAGCAAACGCTTTGGTTCTCTCTTTGCCCATCGTTAGGTCAACGGGGTGACAGTTCACGGAGCCACGCCCCTCTTCAATGCTTGCTGCAGTGGCAGCGCTGCGTGTGTCAACGTGCTGCTGGAGTTTGGAGCCAAGGCCCAGCTTGAGGTGCACCTGGCTTCACCCATCCACGAGGCAGTGAAGAGAGGTAAACGAGGCATCACGTCGCACACAGAACATTGGTGGGCTCCCTCCTATCTGCATGAATCAGTCATAGAAGGTTTTCTTTGCAAGGATCGCCCAAATCTTTTTCACCAGTAGACTAGCTGTGGCTTAGAAATCCCACAGCAGTAACTTGAATATACCTAAATCTTTAGGAAATACCACTGGGGCATGACACAGCTCTTCTTAGAACCAGGGAATGGCTGTCTGCCTCAGATGTCCTCTTTCCTGGGCTCAGTCTCCCAACAGGCCTTGCTTGAGGCTCCTTGCTGGTGTTTGGGCAGCAGCTGGTGGAGTCAGGAGTGCAGGGGTAACTTCCATGAGCTGTACTGTGTTTATGTCTCTGTTCTTACTAGAAAAGAACAGTTCATGCCCCAAAGCCCATAAAACATCAACCACCGCCATGAAATAAGTGGTGAAAGTGTCTGAAAGCCCAGACTGATAGTGTCTCTAATGGAGGATTAAAGGTAACTGTGCACAAGCGATCTACTCTAGATGAGCTGATAGCTCTCAAGGTCGTTAGTTATTGAAAAAAAGTTGCAACTGTAAAAACCGTGGCATTGGAAACCTTGAGGTGAATTCTAGATTTCTGTGTTCTCAGTTGCTTTTGAAATGATGGAAAAGAGTAAAATTAAGGAATTTTAAAACTGTATGCCTAGACTAGACATGAACAAGAAGAGCCATTGAAAGGCCAACGCCATTTGTCAAAGGTCACACCCAAAGAGCAACATTTTCTGTGTTACCCAGCGGTGGAGTTATTCTCTTATACTGAGATCAGAAATACAGTGGAGAGAGTTCCCTGGTGGTCTGGTGGTTAGGATTCGGTGCTTTCACTGCTATGGCCCGGGTTCAATCCCTGGTCGGGGAACTGAGATCCTGCAAGCTGCATAGCACGGCCAAAACAGAAAAAAAATTTTTTTTAATTAAAAAAATAGAAATACCGTGGAGAAGTTAGAACACTGTAGAACAGTGATCTTCGCTGGTATAATGAGAATTAAAGTCTTTATTTCAAAAGGCAATAGTGAAAGTTTTGTCCCAGGTTGTTAAACATGTCACTTGGTAATTTTTTTTTTTTTGCAGTGGATTACTATAAATGATACAAAACCCCCAAATCTCTGTGTATCTATGGTTTTGATGTCCTGTACATATTTAACAAACATTTATTAATTAATAATTGATGCTGATTATTTCCCAAACTTCAAGTAAGTCCTTTAAGTTGTAGGGAAATAGTCTACTTTGGAAATGGTATAAAAGTGTTTAAAATTTTTAAAATATTGATTTGAAGTAAAAATCTATTATCTGTATTTCCATCCAAATGCTTAAAAATGGATGAACGTTGGTAATGATTTCAATTAAGTAATCCTGCAGTGCTTGGATGGTTATATATGGAGTGTTTGGTATCTGTGTACCTCCGGTATATACATGCTTATCATAAACAGATGAATTCATGTGTCGCTACATATTTTTTTCTGTATCATGAAAACATGTGAGGGACCAATGTCCACAGAGTGGAAGGATGAATAGCAAATTCATTATTTTAGATACTATTATATTAGTGCCAATCATTTGACTTTTATATATTCATTTTTTTAAAACTTCCTGAGAACACTTAAATTTAACTCAAGCTAGGCTCAGTTTCTTTTGGAAAAAAAAAAAGACAGGAATTATGCTTTTTTTTTTTTTTTTTATGGTGCGCGAGCCTCTCACTGTTGTGGCCTCTCCCGTTGCGGAGCACAGGCTCTGGACACGCAGGCTCAGCGGCCATGGCTCACGGGCCCAGCCGCTCCGCGGCATGTGGGATCTTCCCGGACCGGGGCACGAACCCGTGTCCCCTGCATCAGCAGGCGGACTCTCAACCACTGCGCCACCAGGGAAGCGCTTTTAAATTTTTATTAGATACACTGAATTTACCAGGCAGTTTTAGGTCCTGATTAGATATTTCTGGACTCTTACAGCTTTAAACCTCTAGGAACAAGAGGGGTCAGTCTGAGTCAATACTTTGACAGATTAATGCTATAATATAAAATTTACTTATGTGAACAGTAGTAAAGTAGTTGGAATTCACGGAAGCCTTACTTGTAGATTTTAATGCATAATTGTGCTGAATTCAGAATTTGTGGTGAATCAAGCAGGCTGAGATGAAGCTTATTTTGGTGTCATCTCTAAAGAAAAGGTTGGTTAAGCTAATCAGTGATGATAAGATTTTGTTTTTTTTAGGAAACATTTCAACCTTCAAAAAAGAACCAACTCTTTATAAAACTCCCATCAATACCTCAGAAGCATTTGCTCCCAAACAAATCATTCATATGCTGCAAATTAATCATGTCTGTCTCTTCACTGGGTGAACTCTCCAAGGAGAATGCTTACTTATCTAGTTCTTGTTGGCCACTAAACTTGAAAGTGCATTTAAATAGATTCTATACTTGAGGCTTTTTATTAATTCTCACAGGAGTCTTACAAGTTGACCAAAATAAGGAGGTGCATGGCGTGACCATCCACCCAATCTTACATGCATGGGCGAGGAAGAGAAGGAGAGATTTGTAATGGAGATGGATGGATCAGGGCTGGGCCTTGGATTTGAGCACTGGCTTTTCAGGGTAATAATAGCACGAGTCATTTATTCCCCTGGGTCTTGTAACCTCTGCCTGTAATCCGGTGACTTACTATAGAGAGTGATTTCAGCCGTGTTCCTTGGAACCCTTAGTTTGGTTGGAGGTACCTCAAGGCTGCAGGGAAGAATCTCAGTGGGGCAGGGGGTGGTGCATGGGCATGCTCTTCTTTCTAATCTTTTTATTTTGGAGATTTCTAAGATTTCCCCCACCTCCCAAATTTTTTTCCTGCTGAAAAAAAAAATCTAGGTTGTTTCTAAAGCCCATTCCAGATAAGCAATCTTATAATTCTGTGAATCGTTAATATTTCCCTTACTTGAGTGAGGTTGTCTTGTGTTCCACCAGGTAATAGAGAGTGCATGGAGATTCTGCTGGCAAATAACGTTAACATTGACCAGGAAGTGCCTCACCTTGGAACTCCCCTGTATGTGGCTTGCACCTATCAGAGGCTAGACTGTGTGAAGAAGCTTCTAGAATTAGGTAACTTCCAGAAGTCTTTTCATGAGAAGAACCAGTTAACCTCGTTGGTTTTCCATGGCTTCAGAGGCGAAGTTCTTGTCAGGCTGGACAAAATTCTGACAGCATTTGATATCTAAATGGTTGAAACAACTTCAGAGATGAGTGTCTGTAGTTCTCAGTTCTGTTTCTTTTGATATTGGCTCCATTTACCTGGTATGGTTCTCCTTGGTGGTCTGAAGAGAGAGCAAGAGTCTCTTTCCCATAAATCCTAGGGGAAAACAACCAATTGTATTTCACTGGCTCTTTTTAAGTCACATGCCCATTTCTGAACCAATCATGGTGGCCAAGGGAATACAATATGCAGACTGGCTTAGGCCTAGATTTCAGTGTACCCTGCAGTTGTTGGGCTTCACTGGAAGCACATGAGCTGGGAATCACGGGAGATGGTTCCCCAGAGGGAAATCTAGGTGTGGTTACCAGGAAGATGCTGGCTAGTAAAAACAGCAGACATTTGTCATAGAGTACTTTAGATCAACCCTGCAAAATTAGTTGTTTAATTCTCAAAGGCATGTACAGAAACTGAGAGTCCAGGGAAAAGTACAAGGTCTTGAAAGTATTATTTGGTTAAAGATTCCCCAAACTTAGCCCCTGACGTAAAGGTCGAGATTGTATTAAGAAACTTTAAATAAGAATTTTTGTCTCTAAGATTTTTTTTGTCTTTTTTTTATCCCCTATCATTTACCACTCCCTATAGTAATTCAGAAAACTTTTTTTTCGAGTCCAGAATAATGTAAATACCCAATAAACCTAGCTGTGTCCTTTGCCAAAAAAACAAAATAACGATGTAAAAGGAGCTGCAAAGATTTAATTTTCTCTGTCACACAGTTCCTGTGGGAGGGCAAGTGAAGCACTTAAAATAACTAAAAATATCTTTATTCGATACTTTTCTCATCAGAGTGTTTGGAAACAGTAGGCATTGCTGGGGGTCTGAGCTTCAGTCATATATTTTCAAAGATTTGTCACATATGTCATGACGTTTAAGATGTCTTTATCGATGGCTAGGACATCTCAGGCTCGTAGTGTTTCTCCATTAACCTTGGGTGTTGACTTGTGGTCATCTGCTTTGTTAAGGAGCCAATGTTGACCACGGCCAGTGGCTGGACACCCCCCTCCATGCCGCTGCGAAGCAGGACAGTGTGGAAATCATCCACCTGCTGATAGACTACGGGGCTAGCCTCAAGTGCAAAAACGCTCAGGGCAAGAGTGCACTTGATCTGGCAGCTCCGAAAAGCGGCGTGCAGCAGGCGCTTCTGCTCCGGGAAGGTAAGGAAGGGCTGGGCGTCCGTTTCTCTTCCACAGGCACATTCGCCCTCTCTCCTTCCAGTCTCCCCTCTAGACTCTCTTACCCTTTCCTTTGCGTCTTTTTAATTGGGAGTGGCACGTGGGAGGGGGCAAGTCCTAGCATCTCAGAGATGGGATTTTTGTCTGCTGGGCGTATTCACTTATAACAAAGGGACATTTACAGACCACTGGTATGTTGCTTTGTATTTGCATTAACAAGAAAATAATCAGAGAACTTTGGTGAAAGGGCTGGGCTGTCTTATCTATCCTGGCATAAGCACGTGATTGAGCAGACCAAAACTCTGCTTTGTAATTTTTGGAGGCAGTTCAGGGAAAATGAAAAATACTTGAGTAGAGATGGTCGGGTGGACACACAGTGTGTCTTTCAGAAACTAGACTAAGCGGTGAAGTTGTTTGCCTGTTCTCCAGCTCAGGGAGTAGGTGGGTTTGCGCTGCGCATTGCCCCACGCCCATGTCCACATGGGCTAACGCATCTCTAGACGCTAGAGGAGGGAAGGTGGCGTCTACAAGGCTTCATATCCCAGATTCTAAAGAGAACCGTGCTGTGTCCCTACAGAAAGAGAACACTATCTGAGCCTCTTCTGAGCGTTTGTATGCTCGGGAGACTATTAAAGTAATAATAATTATTCAGCTTTCCACGTGTCAGACGCTGAGCTAGGTCTGAAACATAGATTCATCTCACTGAATTCTCAAAACTTTAAAGCCGTGAGAACTTTATAGTAACTGGTGCTATCCCAGCTGCAAGCGGGAAATGAGGGGCATGAAGAGATGGGCTTTCAGAAGGTTACACGGCTACTAAAAAGTAGGTCTAGGATGCTAACCAAGGAATAGGATTCCAACTTGCACTCTCTTTTTTTATTATTGGAGTATACTTGATTTATAATGTCGTGTTGCAGGTATACAGCACAGTGGTTCAGCTATATATGTGTGTGTATATATAAGTATTATGTGTGTGTGTATATATATCCTTTTTCAGATTCTTTTCCCTCATAGGTTATTACAAAATATTGAGTGTAGGTCCCTGTGCTATATAGTAGGTCCTTGTAGTTTATCTATTTTATATATAGTAGTGTGTATCTGTTAACCCCACAGTCCTAATTTATCCCTCCTTTTCTTCCCCTTTGGTAACCATAAGTTTCCAATGTGCACTCTTTTTTTTTTTTTTTTTTTTTTTTTTTATTTTGTTGTTTTTTTGAGGTATGCGGGCCTCTCACTGTTGTGGCCTCTCCCGTTGCGGAGCACAGGCTCCGGACGCGCAGGCTCAGTGGCCATGGCTCATGGGCCCAGCCGCTCTGCGGCACGTGGGATCTTCCCAGACCGGGGCACGAACCCACGTCCCCCGCATCGGCAGGCGGACTCTCAACCACTGCGCCGCCAGGGAAGCCCCAATGTGCACTCTTAATGTTTTGATGCCCCAATCCTGAATCTTCTGAAACAGTTTCTAATGAGGAAGAGTTTAATTTCACTCACCAGTTCCATTTTGTGAAAGTGCCCCCGTGTCTTGTATACCTTCCAAGTGGGATGCTTGGTTCAATAGTTTTAGGAATACTCTCCAGACAAGTGCTTCTTAAGCTTCAATGTGTATATGAATCACCTGGGGATCTCCTTAAAATGCAGATTCTGATTCAGGAGCTCTGGGGTGGGGTCCCAGACGCTGCACGGCCACCAGGCTCTCAGGTGAAGCTGATGCCGCCGGTCTGAGGTCACTTTGAGGAAGATGGGTCTAGATTATTTCCAATAGTCTGTGTCATTAATGATTGTTCTTTGATTTGAACGTCTACTGGAAGAATTAGGACCTTCCTTACCAGCTCCCAGTTTGGAAATATGGGACACTTAACAACGATTAGCCGAGAATATGGTTTATAGCAGTTGTCACGTTTCCTGTTTGCTTCCATCAAAAATGTTTCCAGGTCCAGGATTCATGTTTCTTCTAAACAAGTTCCTCTGTCTCTGTCTTCATAAATACAGCTGCTTGCTCTAGAAGGATGAACAGCAGCTATGTCAGAGGTCACTCTGTTGTGTGACAGGAGAGACACTTTGCATTCTCGCTTCCCAAGATTTTAAGGAAGGGCGATGGTCTGCTCCTCCAGGTAGCGTTCTGTCACATGGATGCTCCTTGGCAATATCAATCCAAGTGTCATGCAGCTACTTATTTGCCTGTGTAGTCACCGTTTCTCATGGGGTGCTAGATGCTGTGACGATAGGATTTTCTTGAAAAGGAAAACTTTGTCTAGTCCAGTAATCACATGTATCTACTTGCATCCATCTTTATTGATACAGTCAGGTAAGGAAATAATGGGGCATTATTACAAATGCCCCTGTGTGACACGGATCCCAGCCAAATGCTCAGTCAGCCTATTCGCCCATATTTTGGACACTGGTTAGTTTGCTCTCCTTCGGGACTCAAAGCCTTGTTTGGGCACGGTGACTCCATGAGACCCCATGAGACTGAGGTTCAGGGTATAATGGGGTCTAAGTGAGTTGGATCCTTTCTCCAGATCCTCTGCTGAGCTGGGATCCTTGCGAGAATGGAGGTCCCCGCCGAGTGTGAGTGGGGACCCAGCCAGCACCGCCGCATGGGCAGCTAGAGCCAGGAGGTCCCTGTGGCCTGACTGTCAGGCCCCAGCACATCTCCTGACACCGCCTCTGTGACCGCGCGTTTTAATTCCTCCCTCAGGCCCGCCTGCTCTTTCCCAGCTGTGCCGCCTGTGTGTCCGGAAGTGCTTGGGTCGCACCTGTCATCAGACCATCCACAAACTGTATCTGCCGGAGCCACTGGAAAAATTCCTCCTATACCAGTAGTCCCAACTGTCCACGGGAAGATACTTGGAAATAAACAGGTTGTTGCCTGCTGTACCCAGGGTACCTAGTATAGACACCCAACAGCTAGACTCCCTAGTGTAACACCCAACAGCTAGACTCTCAAATGAGCTAAGCCAGTTAGAGCACATCCCTGATGGACTGGCACACGTGGGGAATGAAAACTCCTGGTTAGTTTAATGTTCTCTTTAACCAAGGGGCAATCAGAAACTTTTCTGTTTTTAGCTCTTGCTGTTAAGAAACTTTAAAAAATTGTGAAGTAAGGTGAAATTAATAGGCTGTTTTTCAAGATTCATGATCTTTGATTAAGGATCACCATTCTGAATAGCGTGTAGACACATATAAATCTGGGTGGGTAAGATTAGGGTGAATGTAAGTATTCGAAGATGGGTTCCTGATTTAGTTCTTCCCTTCTTCCCCCTTTCTTTCTTTCCTTCCATGAATAAATCTCTGCTAAAATTTTATTTTCTTGTGTTTTATTTTATATATAAAAAAGCCAAATACTTTAAACCATCACAGTTAATGGAGACTTGCACTTACTGAGGTCCTGGTTGATGTTGATTACACATGGAAATGATAATATTTTGAATATATTAGGTATATTTCATTATTAAAATTAATTTCACTTCTTTTTACTTTTTAAGTGTGACTACAATCCAATTTTCAATTACACACGTAGCTAGCATTATATTTCTGTTAATACTGTTCAGGACCTTTTCTGATTTTCACAGCTCTGGAATATCACATAAGTTCATCTTAATTAGTTAACTATTTGGGGATAAAGATTAAATTCTTATTTCACATAATCATCTAAAAACGAATCTTGGTTTTTGGAAAATGTTAAAACATTTTAAACGATAGTATAAAATACTGGAATAAAATTTTCGTGAATGTACATGAAAGGGAAGCTCTTTTCTAATCATAATATCAAAGGCAGAAACTTTAAAGGAAAATACTGATAAATTAAAATACATATGATAGAATATGCAGGAATTGGAGGCTTTCTATCTTCAAAGTGTTCTCGGGAGTGCATTTTTTGGTCAACCTGCATCTTGCTGAATGTCTGAAGTCTGTGTTAAGCCCCAGGATGTCCTAGGGTGTTCAATCTGTCTAGAATCCTGCTGTTGCATCCACTTTCTGAAATGTCGGACCATGGATTTCATGAATCGTTTGTACGAACCTCCGAACTCTGGTAGGGGTGTGTGCGTGTGTGAATCACTCACCAGAACCGATCCTTCTGGATCCAGAATGGATGCAGAACAAGTCCAGATCCCTGCATCTTGGGGTTGTGATGTTTTAGCATTTATGATTGGGCATGAGATAGTCTTTAGATTCCTTTTGAGCCTTCCAGCCCATCAAGCTAGAATTAGACCCTCAGATGAATCATCTAGTTTAGATGAGATTATATGGCTTGCTTTTGGGGGTTCTGAGCACTACTATAGATTATTTCATTTTTTTCACAGGATGTGGAATGTTTTATTCCCAAAGTGGTGTGATTTCTCACAATTTCAGTCAGATTTGAAGTGCTCTAGGGTAACTTCTCAATTCATTCATTCACACATTTTTACTCAGTATCTGTTATGTGCCAGACACGGTTTGAAGCTGTGAAAAAGACAAGGTCCTTGCCCTCGAAAAGCTTATGTGTTAGTGGAGGCAACAAGGAATAAGCATACACGTGTCATCATGTCAGGAAATTAGAAAAATGAAGGAGATTAGGGTAAAGAGTGATGGTGAGAGCCACTATTTTAGATAAGTTGATTAGGCAAGGTCCCTGGCTGGGTGACAGGATTTTAAAAGAACTATTCATGTGTGTATGTAACATTTATTATTTAATTTTTACTATTAAGGTTTTAGTGACTTTTTTCAGTGTATTTTCAGTGCATCATGATGGTTTTCTGTTTGTTTCTTTGACTGATTTAATATAGCAATCCTGGGCTTCCCTGGTGGCGCAGTGGTTGAGAGTCTGCCTGCTGATGCAGGGGACACGGGTTCGTGCCCCAGTCCGGGAAGATCCTACATGCTGCAGAGCGGCTGGGCCCGTGAGCCATGGCCACTGAGCCTGTGCGTCCGGAGCCTGTGCTCCACAACGGGAGAGGCCACAACAGTGAGAGGCCTGCGTACTGCAAAAAAAAAAAAAAAAAAAAATATATATATATATATATATATATATATATAGCAATCCTATTACAAAAGTATTTTTTTAATTAAAGTATAGTTGATTTACATTGTTGTGTTTGTTTCTGGTGTACAGCAAAGTGATCCAGTGTTACATACATATGTCTATTGTTTTCCATATTCTTTTCCATTATGGTTTATTACAGGATATTGAATATAGTTCCCTGGGCTATACAGTGGGTCCTTGTTTATTATCTATTTTATATATAGTAGTGTGTATCTGCTAATCCCAAACTCCTACTTTATCCCTCCCCCACACCCTTTCCCCTTTGGTAACCCTAAGTTTGTTTTCTGTGTCTGAGTCTGTTTCTGTTTCGTAAGTTCATTTGTGTCATATTTTAGATTCCACATACAAGTGATATCATATGGTATTTGTCTTTCTCTGTCTTTCTTCACTTAGTATGATCATCTCTAGTTCCATCCATGTGGCTGCAAATGGCATTATTTCATTCTTTTCTATGGCTGAGTAGTGTTCCATTGCGTATACGTACCACATCTTCTTTATCCATTCATCTGTGGATGGACACTTAGGTTGTTTCCATGTCTTGGCTGTTGTAAATAGAGCTGCAGTGAACATTGTAGTACATGACTCTTTTTGAATTATGGTTTTCTCAGGGTATATGCCCAGTAGTGGGATTGCTGGGTCGTATGGTAGTTCTATTTTTAGTTTTTTAAGGAACCTCCATACTGTTCTCCACAGTGGCTGTACCAATTTACCTTCCCACCGACAGTGTTAGGACTGTTCCCTTTTCTCCACATCCTCTCCAGCATTTAATGCTTGTAGACATTTTGGTGATGGCTCTTCTGACTAGTGTGAGGTGATATGTCATTGTAGTTTTGATTTGCATTTCTCTAATAATTAGCGATGTTGGGCTTCTTTTCATCTGCCTATTGGCCATCTGTATGTCTTCTTTGGAGAAATGTCTATTGAGGTCTTCTGCCCATTTTTTTTTTTTTTTTTTTTTTTTGCGGTATGGGGGCCTCTCACTGTTGTGGCCTCTCCCGTTGCGGAGCACAGGCTCCAGACGTGCAGGTCCAGCGGCCATGGCTCACAGGCCCAGCCGCTCCACGGCATGTGGGATCCTCCCAGACCGGGGCACCAACCCGTGTCCCCTGCATCAGCAGGCGGACTCTCAACCACTGCGCCACCAGGGAAGCCCCCTCTGCCCATTTTTTGATTGGGTTGTTTGTTTTTTTGTTATTGAGTTGTATGAGCTGTTTGTATATTTTGGAAATTAAGCACTTGTCGGTTGCATCGTTTGCAAATATTTTTTCCCATCCTGTAGGTTGTCTTTTTGTTTTGTTTCCTTTGCTGTGCAAAAGCTTATAAGTTTGACTGGGTCTCATTTGTTTATTTTTGCTATAAAAGTATGTTTTGATTCCTGCTTTCCCCACAAAGTATGTTGTAATGATTTTCTAAGTTTCAAACCCTTTGAAACTACCCTTTAAAATGGCTGTATCATATTTCTTAGCTATTTCCATATTGTTGGATACTTAGATTATTTCTAATTTCTTGCTATTTTAAATACTACTAATGTGAACTTCATTTTTTTTTTTTTGCGGTACGCGGGCCTCTCACTGTTGTGGCCTCTCCCTTTGCAGAGCACAGGCTCCGGACACGCAGGCTCAGCGGCCATGGCTCACGGGCCCAGCCGCTCCGCGGCATGTGGGATCTTCCCGGACCGGGGCATGAACCTGTGTCCCCTGCATCGGCAGGCAGACTCTCAACCACTGCACCACCAGGGAAGCCCTGAACTTCATTTTTTATAAATCTTTTTAAATGTTTGAATTATTTCTTAGATGTTCAGAAGTGATATTTACTGATTAAGAAAACTATTTCAAATAATAGTATAAAATAATTTTAAATATATATAATGAATCATTTTAAGGGAAAAGTATTTGCATAGCCAAATACCACATATTATCTGTTCATATGCCATCTGTCTCTCTCTATAGACATCTAATATATCTATCTACATACCATGTGTCTGTCTGTCGTCTGTCTGTCCATCCATCATTTATCTAACTGTATCCATCATATCTGCCTTGACCCATTATTTTAAAAAAAAATAAGCTTGCCTGTGTCACTTGAAGATGTAAACCTCAACTCTTTGAAAAGCCCATAAATTATTTAAAAGGTTGGGTACGTCATTCAACATCTCTAAGTTTTTGTTCATATTTTATTAAGGAACCATTTCTCCCAAAGTAATCCTCCTCCCTGATATTTCTAATATTGCCATGTCAAACAAACCTGAGGTTTACAGATAATACTTTTTTCAGTAACAACGCTCATTGCTGAGACAATTTTATGCGCTTAACACAAAGAGGAGAGCTGACGCTTCAGAGACATTGCCTGAGGGATGAATCCTTGTCAGGGAAGGGCGCTCTCGGGGCCCGGAGGACCTCACGTTTCCTCCCATCACAAATCCTCGCCAGGGGCCGCTCCTGCATGGACGTTTGCATGTGAAATACATCATCTCCTTCCTTTAGCAGAGTCAGTACCAGGACAAGACCCAGGTCACGCTCAAAATAGCAGCTTCATTTTTCAACATGAGTTTAACCTATAAAAAAATGTATATCAGGTTTTTATTTTCATTTATTAATTTCTTCCCCTGCCATTGTTATATCTTGAAAATCTTTCCGCTTACAGAAAAATTGCAAGAATAATACAATGAATATTTGTACATCCGTCACTTCAGTTCGTCAATTGATAGGATTTTGCCACATTTGCTTATGTCTTTGTGTGTGTATGTACGTATGTATGTGTGCAGGTGTGTACACACACCTATATAATATATATGTATATAAGTAAGCCCATGTATAATGAATACGTATACACATTTTTTTTTTAATGAATCATTTGTGAGTAAACTGTCGACATCGTCATTCTTCACCAGGGCTAGGATTAGGAGGAAGTGAGTGAGGCAAAAAATTGAAGGGGGCACCAAAAATGTAATCATTGGGAGAAAAATTTTAGTGCAATATTAAAAAATACAAATGTTAAGGGAAAAAATCCCGATGACCAAAATATCAAAAATTTTGATAAAGACAGGCTGTGGTTTGTGTGTTTTAGGACCCTGCGTAATTGTGCAATGAGAACAGCGTTCCCCATCAGCCCAAGGTCCTGGGACATGGGGCTGCTGGGTTTATGAGGAATGACAATGGCTTGTGAGCAGAGTGGGCAATGTGGGCTTTATATATACTCAAGCTTTTTGACTGTAGGGCTTGCGTTAACTTTTTCTATTTGGTGCAAAACGTGTACATAGGGGCATGCATTTCTCCCCCTGCGTCACGCTCCCGCGCGGCTCCGTACTGACCACTTCAGCGAGCATCTCCTAAGGACACAGCTTCTTTGACATAACTGCGGGTGATGCAGTGATCACACCCAGGAAATTTGACATTGATGCACTATGAGTATCCGATATACGTCTGTATTTAAATTTCCATGGTTGTGGCTTTGATGTCTTTTATGTCTTGTCCTCCGCAATCAGGACCCAGTCAAGGATCATCACATTTAACGATCAAGTGTCTTCATTCTCCTTTCATCTTGGAAACCCCCTCCACCACTTTTGTCTTTTACCCCACCCCACTGGCATTTTTGAAGAGTTCAGACTTACTGTTATGGAGACTCTCTCTCAATTTCGATTTGCCCAATTGTTTCCTCAAGAATACTGCATTATGCCAGATTTTTTTAAAACACACCCTTGTTTGAATCTTACTGCGCTGGTCGATGGAGTAAGAATGAGTGACAGCTTTCTAAAGTCACGACATCAGCCAGCTCAGCATACGCAGAGCCAGTTAGGCGAGCACAACTCAGATAGGAGTTTCGCAGCCAAAGCAGATCATTCCAAATGACCAGAGGAGATGTGCACCTTTAGGTTTTTAAAGGTTTTGTGCTAGAAAGATTGCCAGCTGGATTGACAAGAGGTTTCAGCTCCTGGGCCAACTTCGACTGATTGGAGGTGACTGCCAAGGCTCCCGAAGGCCTCGGGAGGAAAGTCTTATAATCCATGAATGATGTCAGCCATGGACATCTAGGGGTGGGGCAGTGGCTAGTGTTAAGTCTGCACCTGATAAAGAAGATTATGGCCTTACTGCTGCTATAGGCCAGAATTCTTTTTTCTTACCTAACCTGGGCCGAGTTTCCTGAACATGCAGACACACACAGAGACTGACTCGAAGCTGGTAAGATTGTTCTGCTCTTGTGGCTTTTTGTAAGCCAACCTATTTCTCTATAATCCCAGCTCAGATACATGTAATTCAACTTTATCCCCATGTAGATCCTTAAAAATGCATGAACTTCCCTTGTAATGGTTTTCTAATTCCTGACTAGAACTGCTGTTAAATTGTTAAAAAAATCAGTTCCCATCCTCCAATGTCCACAGGTGTTGATCAACATTATAAATATAATGAGAAGATAAAATGGTGATTAATTCCCTCCCAGGTACTAAGGCAACAACCTGGAAATCTTCTTTATTGTCATTTTGGGCAATCAAGTTAAATTTGAATATGCAAAAACCTTATCTTCTTGGAATTTAATGAAAAGTAAATAAAGAATCTCTACTATGAAGATTTTGCTCAGAAAGAATGGAATGGTATCTAGCTTTCCCACTGCACCCCTCTGTTTAACTCCTTGTCAGCAGTCTACATTGGGAGTAAATTTCTCCCTCTCTGCCAAATACAAGTTGCATTGTTCTTCAAACCTTTCCTGACGCAGTAGTGAACAATGTATACGCTTATGGCCTTCTTGGTTAATTCTGCAAATAATAGAGCCGGAGGGCAGTTTGGCAGTGTTTCAATTTTAAGTGAACAGCTTAATTAATTAATAATTGTAGATTCACATGCAGTTGCAAGAAATAATACAGAAAGATCTCCTATAGCTTTGCCCAGTTTCCCCCAATGATAACTTTGTGCAAAACTGTAGTACAGGACTTCCCTGGTTGCACAGTGGTTAAGAATCCGCCTGCCAATGCAGGGGACACGGGTTCAAGCCCTGGTGCGGGAAGATCCCACATGCCACGGAGCAGCTAAGCCTGTGTGCCACAGCTACTGAGCCTGTGCTCTAGAGCCTGTGAGCCACAATTACTGAAGACTGCGTGCCTAGAGCCCGTGCTCCACAACAAGAGAAACCACTGCAATGAGAAGCCTGTGCACTGCAACAAAGAGTAGCCCCCGCTCTCTGCAACTAGAGAAAGCCTGTGCTCAGCAACAAAGACCCAACAAGCCAAAAATAAATTTAAAAAAACAAAAACACTGTAGTACAATATCACAACCAGGAAATCAACATTGAGACCATCCATTGATCTCATTTGGGATTCTCGTTTGACTTGTACCCACTCTTTTTTTTTTTTTTTTTCTTTTTGCGGTATGTGGGCCTCTCACTGTTGTGGCCTCTCCCGTTGCGGAGCACAGGCTCCGGACGCGCAGGCTCAGCGGCCATGGCTCACGGGCCCAGCCGCTCCGCGGCATGTGGGATCTTCCCGGACCGGGGCACAAACCCGTGTCCCCTGCATCGGCAGGCGGACTCTCAACCACTGCGCCACCAGGGAATCCCTGTACCCACTCTTGTGTGTGTCTTTAGTTCCATAGAAATGATCAAGTGTGTATGAGCACAACTTGGACCCAGCATGTCCACTCTTAGGAATCTCGCCTCCAGAAATATTTGCGTATTGTCACTGAACCAAATTTGGGTCCACTCGCCTGTACAGTAAAGCCAATCTACTGACACCAGGTTGTGGTGAAGGAAAGTATAGTGTTTATTGTGGGGCACCAAGCAAGGAGTACGGGTAGCTCATGCTCAAATGACCCAAACTCTCCAATGGCCTTCAGGGGAGGGGTTTTAAAGGCAGTGTGAGGGAGGGTGCTGCAGGTTGCCTGATGAGCTCGTGCACAATTCTTGGATTGGTTGGCATCAAGATGAAGTTTCAAGCATCATCAACCTTCAGGTTTTGACCAGTCCAGGGTCTACATGCTTGCAGTCAGCAGCTTTCATCTGGTGCAGGTCTGCTTCCTGTAAAAACAGCTTAGGCATGTGTGTCAGACCTTTAGCTGTATCTTTTAGGGAGCTGGGAGTTCAGTGATTCTGTTGGGTAGCTGGTTTATTGTCTAAAGTGTCACCAGTTTCCCCACCCAACATTATAATATTCTTTGTTTCTACATCTTCACATTTCCCAATCATTAACTCTTGAGACAGTCTTTTGAGACTCAGGGAGGCCTGGGAGACTAAAGCAAAAGCCTTTTCGAAGGACAGGGACACAGGGGCTTGTACATGACTTGAATCCCCCTTGTCTTTGATACCCCTCAGTCTGAGGGGAACAGGTTCAGGACAAGAAAGGGAATAAAATTTTGGAAGAGGTTAATCATAAACTTGGTGGAGGAACTCAGTTTTAGGGGGACTTGGTTTCAATATGTGCACGAAGCCATATGGAGAGATCTATGGACTGCAGTATTTTTGTAGTAGTAAAAGAAAATGGTAACATTCTGCCTCCATCGTTAGGGGAATAATGAAATACTTTTGGCATGAAATATTTATGGAATGCTATGCAGTAGTAAATAAAGGGACAGAGCTATTCTGCTGAAATGGAAAGATCTTCAAGACAAGTGTAAAAAGCATATAGGATAATTTAATTACAATTATGTGGAAAATGTAAAGGAATAAATGTGTATCCACATACCTGTGTGCATGGAAATGCATTTTAAGATATGAAGGACATTCCTCAAACTGTAAACAGTGGCTACCACGTGGGTCAACTGAGGCTTCATAAATCCAAAACAGTAAGGCTGTATCTTTGGCGTTAAAAATAATCTGTAATTATTTCATAGCCGGGCTATGCTTGAGAAGAACTCAGAGACTTCCTGAATAGGGAAGAAAAATCCCTTTCTACCTGGAAGAGAGCAGCTGGGTGCGGGGAGGAGGGGGGTAGTCCGGGGGTGGCCATCAGCCTGAACCAGCACCAAGTGGTGCGGGGAAACAGGGTTTATCTGAAAACACAGAGACAAAACCCCAAATGTTTTGTAAAGGCAAATAGGCGGAACCTTCACAAAGTAAAACCTTTTATAACGAATCATTGAAAGATAGCAGCTCTCCTCCAGCGCTCCCTGCCGCCCAGCAATCCATTTTTGTTTTTGCGATAGCAACCCTGAATTATTTTGGAGGAGGGTGAGCGGGACATTTAGCGCAACCCTGGCAGTCAGAGGAAGAAAATAGAAGTTCTTTCCAAACGTGCATTTTTGTAACATATAGAGGCTTTTTCCTATAAGCAACTCCCAGAAAAATTGAAACCACATGTGCAGATGGCCAGGGCGTGCTGTGTAAGTTGCTGTGCAAGCAGTTCAGCAGGGCTGCAGCAAAACCAGCTTTCTCAGCTCCTGGGTTCTGGGGCTTATCTCAACAACAAGAAACCCCCAAACAACAACCGGATCCCAGCAGGGGGAACAACGTTGCAGCAGACCAGTGCTTTCCTCCCCGCCCCCGCACACCCCAACCCTGGGCTCTCCCAAAGTTACATACTGTGTTTCCTTCCTGAGGAACCTCAAGGCTTCCTCCCTGATTGGTCTCAGTTTTGGAAAGGACGTGACATCAGCAACTTTGCAGACTTGGGGCTGGGGGGCTGCTGTGGGCTTTGGGCAGCCTCTAGCCAGTTAGGTGGAGAGAGAGCGTGTGTGTACGTGTGTGTGTCTGACCACAGGTAGTATTCAGATCACCCTGCCCTGTTCTGTTCTCTGCCATCTGACCAGGACGGTGCTGCCCAGCCAGTCAAAGCCCTGGAATTTCCCAGGAGCTGGGGGAGCATGGAATTTGGACTTTTCCTGAACAACTGAAGCGGAGCTTGCCCAGCCCAGGAGAGCACCATGGATGGTGAACCACGGGGCAGCAACGGCAGCAAGCCCCCGAGGCTGGGAGACTCTCCGGACGTCAGGCTCCTTTCCAACCCATTGATGGGGGGTGAGTCTAGGGGCTGGGGAGTCAGCCTGCTGGGGAGGTCGGTTAACGTGCTTAGGAGAGAGGAGAGAAAAGGGTGGGGCAATTTCAGTGACTCCATCTGAGACGTGGCCACGGGGCAGTAACTGGACAGATGTCCACGGCTTGCTGGGATCTGTCTTTCACACGGTTGTTCAAAAATGTGTACACCTCTTTCCGCAGGGTCCTGTGGACCATACCAAGTCAATGATCACCATTTACTCTCCAGGAAAAACTTCAGCTCCAAAGAATTATTCTTTGTGGGTCAAATGTATCATTTACATTACAGTTATTTCTAAATAGGAACATCTTTATTGCTAAAACATTTATTAAAAGGTCTTAGGTATTTGGCATTTAGGTGGGGCTGGGTTTATAAATGATGTTCGAACATTGAGCACTGATTGATTCACTTTAAAAGGAGCCTTTTAAACTTCGGGGAAGTGTTGTACAGGTATGATTCTCACCTGTCTCGTGGTATCTTTGCTAATGTATAGAGCCTCACGCCTCCGGGAAACTGTCATTTCCTCTGAGCACTTAGCAGGTACCTGTTGACTGAAAGGATTGTGAAAAAATGGGTCTAGGCATTAGAGGAGAGATGCTTACATTCAGCGGTCAAAGGGACAAAAAGCAGGGACTCTGCAGTCAGCTAGGACTTACTACTCTCCTACTGTTTAGGTGTTGAAGGGGGAAAAGACAGAAGAAATAAAATACAAAATGCCTTCTCTCGGGTTTCCCTGGTGGCGCAGTGGTTGAGATTGTGCCTGCCGATGCGGGGGACACGAGTTCGTGCCCCGGTCCGGGAAGATCCCACATGCCACGGAGCGGCTGGGCCCGTGAGCCATGGCCGCTGAGCCTGTGCGTCCGGAGCCTGTGCTCCGCAACGGGAGAGGCCGCGGCGGTGAGAGGCCCGCGTACCGCCAAAACAAAAACAAAAACAAAATGCCTTCTCTCTGGCTCACTGAGCAGACAAGACTGCTCATTTATTCCTTCGTTTATCCACTTTGGCTCGTAAAATGAGCAGAGTCCTCAACAGCGAGTAGGATTTGGATCTCCAGAGGCAGACCTGGAGTCATCAGAGATATTGAGCATGAACTTGGAGCAGCAGAAGGCAGAGTGGCACCAAATTTAACTTTAAAAAATGGATTTGATAAATACATTTTTAAAGCAGCAGACCAATCAATACGGGGAAGAATCAGTAATGTGGTTGACTTCTCCATGATTATTTTAGTGCTGAGTAGTTTTATGTTTATTTTTATTTTGGCCTGAGAGAGGGGCGCCAGCCGCTTTTCACCGTTTACGGCTTCTAAAGGTCCTAATCCAACCCTGGTTAGGGCTGGGTGGGTGGGCGGCGGCAGCCAGGCATATATTGGGGTGGCCATAAAGTTCGTTCGGGCATTTCCATACGATCTTATGGAAAAACCTAAACGAACAGTTTGGCCAACCCAGTATATAGTGGACAGTCACAACTGGAGTGCAGTGTCTTGGCCAGTCCAGTGAGAACAAGTTGGGAGAGATGGAACCCGAAAATGAAGCTTCAGAAGCTAAGTGGAGGAGCTTAGCCTTCATGAGCCAGGCCGCTGGGAGCCACTGTTGGTTCTGGAGCGGAGACTTGGCCATAATGAAGACTGTAAGTAGTTAATCTGGTAGCCACATTCAGGATGGATTATGGAGGATTTACGAGATATTCTTGCACTAATCCACTGCTTCTCCAACTCGGATACATCAGCATCACCTGGATGGATTGTTAAAATGCAGCTGGCTGAGCCCCACCCCTTCTGATGCTAGGTCTGGGCGAGGCCTGGGAATCTGTATAACACGCTCCCGGGTGATGCGGATGGTGCCGGTTGGGGACCACACTTTGAGAACCACTGCATGAAGCTGACATCTGGATCAAGCCTCAGAAATGACAGAGAAAGGGAAAATATGGGTGATAATTTCAAAGGAAAGAGAAATCAAGCTATGTTGCTTGATTAAATATTGGGGCTAAAGGAGAGAAGGTGGCCAAATGTGCAAAGTTTTCAAATGTCAGATCAGAGGGCTACACAAGAGAGAAGTTGGGAAGGGGAGCTGGCTTGCGGGCAGAGTGAAGGAGGGAGGAGAAGGACTTCTGTTTTGAACATGAAAGTGCCCAGGGCCCAGCATGATGGGTGGGACACCGGCTGGGGAATGAATACGGGTTGGGAATCACGCGTCAGGCTGTTCTGCAGAGGGACTGGGCTGAAATCCTGGAGAAGGAGACATTGTCTGATGGCTGATTTATGAGAGCCAAGGATGGAGCCCTGGGACAGGCCTCCAGTTGAGGACGTAGGACCAGTAAGTTGGACAGAGAAGCAAGAAGAGACTCAGATGCTGTCATTTCACAGGGACTAAAGGAAGAGAAGTTTTCCAAGAAGCAGGAGTCACAAGGGTGGGTGCCAGGACCCTACCACTCTCCCAAGTCCTTCTTCTCTACATCTGACCCGCAAACTCCTGCATCCTTCCTTCCACCCGGCCAAGCCACTGCCCCCATAGAGCCCTCCCAGGCTTCCTGCCCCTCCTTACCCAAGTGGAGGCTCTCTCTCCCTACTGTGTGTCAGTCCTGCCCCTTGGGCAGAACCTCACTGATAGCTGGATTGCCTTTGTTTATGCTTCAGGAGGCTTGCCCTTGGTGAAGTGTGGAATGTGAAACACTCAGAGTGTTTCTGGATGGTGCTGACAGGAAACTCAGCTCAGGTGAAGCATATCCCCTGGCACAGGGCCAGGGCCAAGGGCAAGCCAGGGCCCAGGTGTGGTTGCTCTTGGGGAACTTTGCTGCTCCCACCGCACTTGCAGGCTTTTCTTTGCCTCCCTCTTCGGAGGAAGGGTGGAAAGGGTATGACAATGGCCACCAACTCTTTATAAACTGTAATTTTTTTTTTTTTTTTTTGTGGTACGCGGGCCCCTCACTGTTGTGGCCTCTCCCATTGCGGAGCACAGGCTCCGGACGCACAGGCTCAGCGGCCATGGCTCACGGGCCCAGCCGCTCCGTGGCATGTGGGATCTTCCCGGACCGGGGCACGAACCCGTGTCCCCTGCATTGGCAGGCGGACTCTCAACCACTGCACCACGAGGGAAGCCCCCAACTCTTTATAGAGATTTAATTCTTGACTCTTCTGCCCAAGGAGCAGGAAAAGAATGTCTTTGTTTTCCTGAAAATACCTTGTTATGGATTGAATTGTGTCCCCCCGCCACCACCAAAAGACAGGCTGAAGTCCTAACCCCCAGTACCTCAGGATGCCACCTGATTGGAAATAGAGTCATTGCAGGTGTAATTAGTTAAGATGAGGCCCTAGTGGAGTAGGAGGGTCCCTTAATCCAATGACTGGTTCTTATAAGAAGAGGAGAAGAGGCACACAGGGAGAATGCCATGCGATGACAGAGGCAGAGATTGGAAGGATGCATCTGATAAGCCAAGAAACAGCAAAGATGGACACCCACCACCAGCAGAGGTAAGGAAGGATTCGTCCCTAGAGGCTTTGGAAAGAGCCTGGCCCCGATGACACCTCCATTTCAGACTTCTAGCCTTCAGAACTGTGAGACAATGAATTTGTACTGTTTTCAGCCACCCAGGTTGTCGTACCTTGTTACGGCAGCCCTAGGAAACTAATTCATACCTAGTCAGAGAAACTTTGGAAAATACATTGAAGGATAAACTCACAATCTCCCGTAATCACACTGAGTTCTTGTTTTTAGTGTCTCTCTTTCAGGTTTTTGCCTGCAGGCTCACACCTGTAGGGAGATCTTCTTCTTCACAAAATTGAGCCCACCCTGTAGGGAGTATTCACATTTAAACAGAAGACGGGCAAGAACAGGCATGGAAAGGAAATCATTTCATTCTCTTAGGGTGGATTTTTAGAAGTGGAGAAAGCATTGCAGTAGACAGGACCAACGTGCCCAACAGTTTCCTCAATGGACCTTTCTATTTATCTGTTTGCGACTGTGAGCCTCTGTTTCTCTTCCTCCTTTTTTGATTTGGCCTGGAATCCAACCAACACTATAATTGTTCACACAGTACCCAGATCCTGTTTCCAATGTTGGAGAGGATCTCCACTGAACCCACCCCATCACGTCCCAAAGACTGAAAGCAAGTGTTCCAACACTCTCAGAGCAACCCAACCTCTCTTCTCCCCTCCTTGACCTTGCAAAATGTTTCCCAGGAGGAATAGATTGATGCTACTCCCAGCATCCACTGCAGGCTCTCGGAGCTTCGTGAATAGCTCTTTGCAGAATGTACCAATTAGTGCATTTAAAATCTCTTCTGAAATAATGGACATTTAAAAAGTCATTCCAGAAATTTCAATAAAAGTGAAACGGCACCCTTTCTAATGTGCTGCACGGTTTGATGGAGACTCAGTTTAAAAGAAATGTAAGTTGAATGGCACTGATTGGAGGACTTGTGGGGTCATTTCCTTAGGAGAGCTCCCTGCCCCATGTTAACCATGAGCTACACTAATGGATCTGTGGCACTGCCCGTGACCCCCATTTGGCATCTGTTTCTCGGCAGTAAAACCAATGGATCTTGGTTCAAAAAGTACTGTGGAAGAATCCTTAACATGTACCAAGCGCTTGGATGATGTCTTGTATAGATATAATGGCCCTTGAGTTTCAAAGACTTCATTGGGGTCAGTGGAAAAGGGCATGTGACCTTGAGTTTTCCCTTCATCCATAGCCTCCTTCTATGAGCAGCGTCCATGTTCTGGCAGGAGCAGGTCCCCTTTCCTGCTTATTCTGTTCCCTCCAGTTGTCAGCAGGAAGGCAGACAAAGCTGCTTTGGGGTTTAATTGCTCATGTGTTGAGCTTGTAGCTCACTGCCTGCTTGTGATGTGGGCTCTGGAAACCCTTGGAGAAACATCTCCTGGATATCTCGTCAATGTTTTCAAGAGCCAAAGAGAGTGTGTGGATTAATCCATGTTGCAAATTATGGCGTTCGCTAAATGAGCTATATATAAAGTTCATGCTCTCCGTGCTAGAAAAATGTCAACCTTTCACAGTTTAAAGTCTTTAGATAATCACTCAAGTGTTCAGAGACCAGCTGAGGCTCAAGTCTTTGTATAAATTTGAGATGACTTTTGGCTTTAGAAGCACCTAAGCTTTTCTTCTGGCCTGGAGTATTGGCAAGCTATGATATATTCACCAAATCGTAGTCTGAAAGGGCTTTCAATTAGGAAAGGAAGTCTCGTACTGCTGATGGAATATAAAGTGGTACAGCTGCTTTGGAAATAGTCTGGCGGTTTCTCAAAAGGCTAAACACTGGGTTACCATGTCATACAGCAATTCCACTCCTAGGTGTCTACCCAAGAGAACTGAAGACATACAGCCACTCAAATTTGTACACGCAAATCAGAGCAGCATTATTAATAACAGCCAAGAAGTGGAAACACCACAAATGTCTATGAACTTTTTGGTCTATCTATACAAATATTTGGCCATAAAAAGGAATGAAATACTGATACATACTGCAATGTGGTGAACCTTGAAACATTACACTCAGTGAAAGGAGCCAGTCACAAAGGACCACATATTGTATGATTCCATTTGTGTGAAAAGTCCAGAATAGGCAAATCCATAGGGATGGAAAGTAGATCAATGGTTGCCAGGGGTTGGAGGAAGTGGAAATGGGGGGAGTGACAGCTGATGGGCAAGGGGTTTCTTTCTGAGATGATGAAAATGTTCTAAAATTGATTGTGATGATGGATGTACAACTGTGAAATCTACTGAAAACCATTGAGTTGTATGCTTGAAAGAGGCGAATTGTGTAGTATGTGAATGATAAATCATTAAAGCTGGTAGATAGATGGGTAGCCACCCACCACGTGTCCCAGGACGATATCCTATGCTTCTCGAAGACACAGGCCATCTCTGCTTTGTAAATACTATGTCCTAATGCATGAGTGCAAAAACCTCAGGTAGTCTTTTTTTTTTTCTCTCTTGGAGAAGTACATAATTCTTTATTTACTCTAAATAGAAGGAGTCATGTTTCCATGATGAATGCACGGAAAGCAAAGCCCATTTTGGTCTACACTTGATAAGATAATTGCATCGCTTTTATGAAATCTAAACAGAGTTAACAACTTAGGGCCCAAATTACCTGCCCGGCTGTCAACTCTAATTATCTGAGGTAGCTTTCACAAAGGTTGAGTGTGGCAGCGATACTTCTGAGCAGCTGAGCACTTGGCTGGAAAAAATGGCTTAATCATCACACACATGATTTTCAAGACCTTTCCCAGCATTTGGTTCTTCTCACTCAGGATTCCGTGTGGATGGTAGTGTGCCTTAGCACCAACAGGGTAGAATCAGTTGTCCTTTTCATTCTAATTTGGAGATCAATCTTCCATAGCTGCTGTTCGGATTGTAGGCTCCAAGCCCTAGAAGCAGCAGTATTTTTCCTGAAAGCACTAGGGCCCTCAGAGAATACTGTGAGGACGCTAATTTTCTATTGAGCATCAGGTTTTGGAGGTTAGAAGAAGCCATTTCACTGAAGGTACCTCGAGCATGTTGGTGAGCCCAGAAGGGAAGCCTTGGAAGGGCAGCGTGTAGGCAGGCTCATTCAGCTTGTTCTTCTCTCCTAAATGCCTCATGAATCCATCTGGAAGGATGGTAATTTGCTCACTGGGACAGGTTTTCTGGGACACTGATAGCTCCAGGTGGCAGGCCCACGTCGGCCAACACGTGTTAAGTCCAAAGCATTCTAGCGTCCTCCTTGATGGGCTGGTGTTGGCCAGGCTTTAGAAACTTACCCTGGTTCTCCAGGTCTTCTGGGCTTTTAGGAGATACCAGTTCGTCTACGAGGCATGACTGGTATCGGACCATCCTGCCTCGTTTGTGTGTAGTGTGTTTACTTGAGCAGAGGCAGAGCTGGAGCTTCAGCTCAGACCAGCCTCCTCACGTTCTGACTTCCTGCCTTTGTTTGTTCTAGAAACCAGACGCAGCTGGAGATGAGAAAAATTCGGGTCTGCGCCGCAGTCAGTTGACATCCAGTCAGTTAGAAAGAGAGGAGAGCATTTAACGTGTTGGGATGGGTTTTACAAGCTTCCTTCCTAAGAAAGTGTATTCTTTCCAAATGGTTGGAGAAGACATTTGCTGTTTTTTAAATAGCAATGATTGGGGGGTCTAATCAAGACTCTCTGGTTATCGTTAGGTCAGGATAATAATAGTAGCTAATAGGGGTTGAGCCATAGGTAAGGATATTGCTGTCCTGACTTTACAGGGAAGGAAACTGAAGCTCGGGGTCTGCCCAGGGACCCACAGCTCAGAAGAAGTCAAGCGGTTCTGAATTCACAGCTTTCTCTTAATCACATTGGCGCATTGCCTTTGGGGGTAAATCACGTCCCTGTTACAAGGTCAGACTGAGCCCTGATTTGTGCTTGATATGGGGACGGGAGGTAATCCATAAATATGGTTTTGTTTAGATTTGATTCCAAACCTAATGGCGTATGTAATGACATGATTACTACTATTAGTATATGGCACTGTTTGCTGAGATGCCAGAGTTTGTATTTCGCACAGGAAACTAGACTGGCAACCACCGCTTAACGCACTAATGCTGGTAATTAGCGAAACTCTCATTTAACTAAATGGACCATTTGCCTTTGAAACCAGCGTCTAAATGGAAGTACAGTAATCTGTCATCCCAGTCCACCACTTTGTCCTCAGTTTGGACACTGGCTGTAGTTATTTCTTTAGCTAGCTAGACATTTCAAATAAATGGTGTTCAAAAAACATCTATAGAGGGGAGAAATTCTGAAGTCCTGGTGGAGTTTTGGTTGATTGACTCCAATGTCTCCCTCCAGTAAGACCGGTTAGACTCTACTGATGGGCAAGGATGAGCCTCTGGGTCTAAAGTGCATTAGCAGGATGTCACCTGCTCCTCCCTTTTCCATACAGATACTGTGTCTGATCGGTCTCCTGTGCATGAAGCAGCCATTCAGGGACGTCTGCTGTCTTTGAGGAACCTCATCAGCCAGGTAAGTAAGTTTTTTGGGAAAAAAAGATGAATACTGGGCTTCCCTGGTGGCGCAGTGATTGAGAGTCCGCCTGCCGGTGCAGGGGACGCGGGTTCGTGCCCCGGTCCGGGAAGATCCCACATGCCGCGGAGCGGCTGGGCCCGTGAGCCATGGCCGCTGAGCCTGCGCGTCCGGAGCCTGTGCTCTGCAACGGGAGAGGCCACAACAGTGAGAGGCCCGCGTACGGCAAAAAAGAAAAAAAAGATGAATACTAAGCACATTCTATTGCTCACCACATTGAGAAAAAGACATCACAGTCAGATATTAAGATATAAATTTCCTCTTTAGCAGAAGGAGATGAATCGTGTCCTTCTTTATTTGCAGGCTGACATAATACTAGAGTTTGGTACAATTCTACGCACAGAATAGATTCTATACTAAATATCTATTGAATGAATAGCGGGCAAATTAGTGCATTCAAGTTGCTGTCACTTTATTCAATAGACTATGTTCTTGAAAATTATCATGTAAAACAGTGGTTTTCAGCTGGGGCAGTTTTGCCCCAAAGGGGACATTTGACAATGTCTGGAGACATTTTGGGTTGTCACGACTGAAAGCAGGAGCAGGGATGAGGCGGGGTGGTGGTGATATTGGCATCTAGTAGCTAGAGACTAAGGAAGTAATTAAACATCTGACACTGCACAGGGCCGCTCTCCACATTAAAAAATTATCCAGCCCTGAACGTCAATAGTGCTGAAAGAGGTTGAAAACCTCTCATGTAAAATAAATGCTTGAAAATGTCTTTTAAAATATGACATCGGGCTTCCCTGGTGGCGCAGTGGTTGAGAGTCCGCCTGCCGATGCAGGGGACGCGGGTTAGTGCCCCGGTCCGGCAAGATCCCACATGCCACGGAGCGGCTGGGCCCGTGAGCCATGGCCGCTGGGCCTGTGCGTCCGGAGCCTGTGCTCCGCAGAGGGAGAGGCCACAACAGTGAGAGGCCCGCGTACCGCAAAAAAAAAACAAAAACAAAAAACAAAAAAAACGACATCGTATAATTTCAAAGACTTGTTCAGTTCTGTTGAATCTCCAGTAGAAATGGCTCTGCCCAGTTTCATATTAGTGTCTCTGCTCCTTGGGTGTCATTTCAAGTACACATTAATTTGAGTTTTGATGGTTTGAAATTATTGGGAACTTAAGCAAAGGCGCTTTTAAGAAAGCGGTTTCAATCGCCATTCAAAATTCCAGTGAAGTTTTTATTCATAGTGTTTTGTTCTCTGAAGACACAATATGGACCTTTTAGGTTAGAAGCTCTTGGCCCTTTCATGGACCCCTTTGATAGTCTGGCAAAGTCTATGGACCCCTTCTCAGACTAATGTTTTAAATGCATAAAACACAATATAGAGGAACTCTATAAACAAATGTGTGACATTGTAATATATGAACTTCTTTATTAATGCATTCAATAAGAAGATTTAGTGGTGATTCTAATTACTACCATAATTCCTAAGTAGGATGAACGTATATTTTGAGATATTTTAGATATCTGCAATATTCATACTGCAATTAAAAATATCTGAGATTCCTCTCAGTGATGGTCCTATATACTGCTGTTACTACTGTGGTTTGTGATCTAAATTCACAATCAAAAGACATGATAAATTTCAGGTGGTAGTTCGTGGAAATGTGCTTTGAAAAAATTCCAATTTCACGGACCTGTATAGACTAAGAAATCCTCCCATGAGAAAACAGTTTCTAAAGACGATTTTCAGACTACTCTAAGCCACTGTCTTAAGCTGTTTTTGGTAGCAGCAGCCTCTTATAAATAGAAATGCAGACAGTAACACGTGACTCTAGCTAAATGAAGTTAAGCTGCTTCTCAGATAAAATGAAACATTTACCTTTTTTTGATACGGTGAAAAATGATCATTGCAGCTTTTATATATGACTTATTAAATTGGACTGATATTCATTTATGTTTAGTATTTACGTGTTTACTGAATATCAGCTGGAATCATGTCTTTATCTAAGCTCTTTTGCATTATTTAAGCAAGTTATTTTCTTGGAACCTCAATTTCTGCCTTTATAAAATGAGTGTTCCAATACCTACCTGTATTAGTCAGATCTTGCTGTGTAACAAAACACCCCAAACTCAGTGGCATAATACAATTAATATTTATTTCTTGCTAATGAGACTTTGGATCAGCTGATCTGGACTGAGCTTGGCTCCAAGCTGTGGGTTGGGTACAGCTCTGCTGCACACACCTCCCATCCTTTTTTCACCAGTAGCTACCTGAGGAATTTTCTCCTCGTGGCAAAAGGCTGAAGCATAGCAGGGCAAGCTCAACCATGAAAGAATACTTCCAGTCTGCTTATGTCACATCTGCTAACACCCCATTGGTCAGAGCAAGTCAGATGACCAGGTCCAAATTCAAGGATCAAGGAAGTATTGATACATTTTGTCAACTATGAGGTCATGGCAAGGGTGAGAATGTATTACACTGCTACAGGAGAGTGAAGAATTGAGACCAAAAATTCAATCTATTATGTTACCTTGTATGAGTTTGAGAGAATTAACTAAGGTGACATTGTGTAAATTACCTGCTCCAGTTACTCCTCATAAATGAGGAGTATCTATTTTCTTATTACAATCTACATAGCGCTTCAGGTAATCAAAGCATACTGAAAAACGCTCCTGCTAAACTAAACAAACATATTTTGGTAAGGCGAGTAAGACCAAACATTCAAACGGCTATAACAAAGAGAAAAGAAAATTACAAAAAATAATTCTCACTTGGTCCAAGAAGGGAGAAACTGAAACTGTAGCTAATTATTCTTTACCGAGACTTCACATTAAAATAATGTGAGATTTTTAAAAAAATAACAATGCCTGGGCTTCACTGTAGGTATTCTGATTTAGCCTAGGGCAGGCTTCATGCATTGGTATTTTTTAAGCTCCTGTAGGACCAGTACATTCAGGGATTTTTTTAAAAATAAATTTATTTATTTTACTTATTTCTAGCTGCATTGGGTCTTCATTGCTGTGCACAGGCTTTCTCTAGTTGCGGCGAGCGGGGGCTACTCTTCGTTGCGGTGCGTGGGCTTCTCCTTGCGGTGGCTTCTCTTGTTGCGGAGCACGGGCTCCAGGCACGCAGGCTCAGTAGTTGTGGCGCACGGGTTTAGTTGCTCTGCGGCATGTGGGATCTTCCCAGACCAGGGCTTGAACCCGTGTCCCCTGCAATGGCAGACAGATTCTTAACCACTGCGCCACCAGGGAAGCCGAGGAATTTTTTAAAAAAGGCCATTGAGAATCTGCCTGCTGATGCAGGGGACACGGGTTCGAGCCCCGGTCCGGGAAGATCCCACATGCCGCGGAGCAACTAGACCCGTGAGCCACAACTACTGAGCCTGCGCGTCTGGAGCCTGTGCTCCGCAACAAGAGAGGCCGCGATAGTGACGGGCCCGCGCACCGCGATGAAGAGTGGCCCCCGCTTGCCACAACTAGAGAAAGCCCTCACACAGAAATGAAGACCCAACACAGCAAAAATAAATAAATTAATTAATAAGCTCCTACCCCCAACATCTTCTTAAAAAAAAAAAGAGCATGTGGAAAGGAACAAAAAGACTGATAGGTTGGATTTGATTAAAGTTAAGGACTTGTTCATCAAAGGTAGTATTTTTGAAAGCAATGAGTCAAGCCACACATGAGAAAATATTTGTGCTATATATATATCTCACAAAGAACTCATATTCTTAGCCTAAAATCAATACAAAAAAGATTGGCAACCTAACAGAAAAATCAGCAAAAGACTTGGACTGGTACTTCATAAAAGGGGATATTCAGATGTTCAGTAAATATATCAACCTGTGCTAATAGTAATTGGAGTAATTTAAATTATGAATAAGAAATTATATTACCAGTTCCTCCCATGAGAAGGATTAAATTTGGAAAGACAGAAAACAGCAAGTGTCAGCAAGAGTGTGGAGCAACTGGAACTATCATACATTGCTGGTGGGAGTATAAATTTGTATAAACCACTTTGGGAAATTGTTAAGGAATATCTACTAAAGCTAAAAATATCTCTATGCTACAACCCCGCAGTTTCATTTCTAGGTTTATATGCAACAGATATGTATACACGTGTTCATCAAAAGACACGTACAGGTATATTCATAGCAGCCTTATTCATCATAACAGCAAAAAAAAAAAATCCTTGAAAACAACCTAAGTGTCCATCAAAAGTAAGATGGATACATATATTTTGGTATATTACTCAGTGGAACCCTATACAGCAATGAAAATGGATGAATCTGAAAAAACAGGTAAGTGAAGGTAGCTGAGCAAACACAAAAATACATACTTCATGGTTCAATTGATATAACGTTCAAAACCAAGGAAAACGATTCTATGATGTTAGTATTCTATGTGCCTTTGCCGATGAGAGGTGGGTAGTAATTTGGGTAGGATATACATAGGTTTCTGGTAATTTTTTTTCCTTTCTCCCTTTACCTGTGCAGTGATTACGCAGATAGATTTTCTTTGTGATAATTCACTGAGGTTTACATTAAGGATTTATGAACCTTTCTTAATATCTGTTGCACTTCAATAGTAATTTATTTTTTAAAAAGCAATGGCAATTTGTTAGGCCAGCAGGAAGCAATTAAGGCATCCTTTGGGCATTTTGTGACCTTAATTTGGTGCACATTAGGATCCCCTTGGGCTGGGATTGGGTAGGGGTTCCTAAAAATGCTGATGCCTGAATTCAACTACCTTTTTTTTTAAAAATGAATCTCAAAGACATTCTTCATTCTAAGTGAAGCAAGCCATACTCCAATTTTATACACTATATGATTCCATTTGTATGTCATTCTGGAATGGACAAAAATATAAGAACTTACTAAAATCAAGACCAGGTGATAATGAAGATAAGATAGATGAATGAAACAGAATAGAGAGGCCAGAAAAAAAAACCACATATGGCCAAGGTCACAAATATTTTCTTCTAAAAGTTTTCTAATTTTA